CACCACACACTCCCTCCCACCCTCCCTGCCTCCCTGCCTCCGGCCCTCACACTTTCTCTTCCTCTGCCTGGAACATCTCTCCCCCGCTCTTGAGCTAATTCCTACTCATCCCCAGATCAAAACGTCCATGACCCCAGCCCCAGGGGAACTGTCACAGTTTCTCCCAGCGGCTCACAGTTTCCTTCCTCGCTCTCAAGAGAAGTCAAGACCCTACACAGCTGACCCTTGAACAACATGGGCAGGAGCTATGGGCACCCACTAATGGGCGGATGCTTTCCAAAATCAAGTACATGTATTTTCTCTTCCGTATGATTTTCTCAAGGACAGTTTTTTCCCCAGCTTACCTTATTAGAAGAACACAGTATATATAATATATATAATATGAAAAATATGTGCGAATCAACCGTTTATGTTATCAGTAGGCATATTAGTAGCTGAGTTAAGGGGGAGTCGAAAGTTTGACGTGGAATTATAACTGTGTGGGGGGTCAGCACCCTGACCCCTGCATTGTTCAAGGGTGAACTGCATCTACTTCTGATTTGTCAACCATATTGGTTTTTGATGTCGTTGTTGTTTTATCCTCACCCGAGGACATCTTTGCATTTATCTTCAGATAGAGCAGGAGGGAGAGAGGGGCGAAGAGAGAGAGAGAAACATCGATGTGAGAGAGACACATCGAGTGGTTGCCACCCACATGACCCCAACCGGGGCCAGGGACAAACTGCAACCGAGGTACGCGCCCTTAGCGGGAACCGAACCCGGGTCTCTCTGATCCGCGGGCCGATGCTCTAACTGCTGAGCCAAACCGGCCAGGGCATCCGTATTGTTTTTTATTGGAGCTGGTGTCCTCCACTGGAATGGTCATTGGTGTGAGATCAGGAACTGTTTGGTTCCCCACTACGTCTCCAGCACAGCAGTGGGTACAAAATAGATGCTCAGTACAATCTTGGTGAATGAGTGAATGAATGAATGAATGAATGCACGCATGAATGGCATCCCAGAATTCTCCAGCTAGAGCGTATTACTCCCAGGGCTTATTGCTGATTCAAGGTGTAGAACAGGGGTCCTCTTCTTCTTTGCCTTTGTCTCCCTAAGCTCCTTCCCCTTCTTCCTTCCAAGTGCTTGTTCGTTTTTCCTTTCTCCTCTCTCCGCTGTTGTGTGAGGGTGGGCATTTGGGGGAAATGCCCTTTTTGGAAATTGGCTTAGAAGATTTCTCCACAGCACCCAGAATCGATCTGTGCGCCCTCAGGGAATAAGATTAGAAATATACGTCCTTTCTCATCTCTTAAATGTTCACAAACGTTTCCAAAGTAACACTCTTGAAAAATACCTTGTGAGTGGCCTGAGTGACCGCTGCAACTGTTGGGAGTTTCCTTTGCCGAGGCTGGTCGGTTGCATCCCTGCGTCGTCCACAGAGGTTAGCCCACTGCCAGGGACACAGGTGTGCCATTAGCCTTTGCTGCTCTGTTTCTCGTTCATCCGGCACTGCTGGCCTGACCACGCATGTCTGCCTTACCCCGCCTGGGTCCTTTCTTCCACACGCCCAGAGGACTCTCATCTCCAGGTCCCGCGTGGACGTGGAAAAGGGCCGTGGCCTCACTTGGGTGGTCAGGACAGCCTCTGCAGGAGGAGACTCCTGGGCTGAGATGCGGAGGAGAGGAAGCCAGTTATGCAAAGATCTGAAGGGAAAGTGTCCCGGGCAGAAGGAGTAGCAAGAACAAAGGCCCTGGGGTGGACATGCTTACTTAGTGTGTCTGAGCAAAATAAGAAAGCCATTATCGGGAGGGAAATTTACAGGAGATGCAGGCCAGGAGGGCGATCAGGTGGGGGGTTTAGGTCTTGTTCTAAGGGCGGCTCTGAGCAACTGGAGGTGTTTAAACAAGGTCAACACCATCAGTCATGTGTATGACAGGTTCTGGCTGGTGTCTGGAGAATGGGGCATAAGGGGAAGGATATAGTCATGGATGTGAGGAGAGCAGAGTCCAAGTGACCGTGGGCACATCCTTCGACCTCTCTGACCCTCAGTTTCCTCATCTGTAAATTGGGGATAAGAAACCCTACCTCTGAAGCTTCTGAGAATTAATGGGTATAATGACTTCTGTGCAAAATACAAAATAGGTCCCCACTCAGTGGAGTCCCCCGTTATCTCCTCTTTCTAGGTAACTCCCCAAGATTTCTCACGTGTGTTTCATTCGCTGCTTTGTAACATAGACTTCGATGGTCTTTGTTATTAAAACCCTGAGACATTCATTGATTGCACAGGTGTCCAGAGACAACCCCTGCCAATTATAACAACATTCCCTACTGGAGGGATCACGTGACAGCAACGTATCTGGGGTTTTCCTTTGCCCGGAGTTGACATCGTTCAGGTGCGGGCTGGTGCTCCGAAGACAGCGTGTCCCCAGGAGAGACTGTTGCTGTCCATCTCAGACAGCTGTGGGTGACCCTACGAGCCGTTGTTCTCTGGGAAAACACCCCGCCTGGCACAACAGGCAAACCCACCAGCAAAGCCGGATGCTTCCCAGCAGCTGCCACGCGGCACCAGCTGCTCCGTCCGAGCCCACGTCCCCCTCATTTCCCGCGCGTGTCGCATGTCGACGGCGGGCCTCTGAAATGTCATTTCACGGGAGGTGTGACGGTCGGTCAGAAACTGGGTTTTGGGGTTCCCTTCTCTTCCCAGTGTGGACAATGTATAATGCTCCAAAAGGTAAAATCATGCCTCTCTTGTGTAAATAGAAAAGGGACTCGCGTCCCAGATTTTGATAAGCTGATTCATTAATGAGGGAACCGGGTAAGTGTGAAACCGGGTCATTGGAGGGTGTATTTGTAGACGGTTTCGTAAAGGAATGTTGGGATAGGGCTCCAGGGCAGAGCACACATCTGGTTAAAGTCTGGCAAGGCGTCCTGGCCGGTTTGGCTGTGGTTAGGGTGTCGGCCCACAGACCAAAGAATCACGGGTGTGATGCCGATCAAGGGCATGTAGCTCGGTTGCAGGTTCCATCCCCGGCCCCAGTCAGGGTCGTGTGGGGGGCAACCAATCCATCTGTCTCTCTCACATCAATGCTTCTCTCTCTCTTTCTCCCACTCTATCTTTAAAAAGTCAAGGGGAAAATATTCTCAGGGTGAGGATTTAATTAAAAAGGAAAAAAAAGTCTGACAAGGTAATAAACCGTAATTTTCAGGTTATCTTTTCCTGCCGAACAGAAATTATTGTCTCTTTCACTGGAAAAAAATGATAATGTAGCATGGAACTTCACTAAGTCTTGAAATTTAATGAATCCTCTTTTTTTTTCTTTTTCTTTTTTTTTTTTTATCCTCACCCAAGGACTTTTTTTTTATGTTTTGTTCAGATAGAGTGGGAGGGAGAGAGAGAGAGAGAGAAACATCGACGTGAAAGGGACACATCGAGTGGCTGCCTCCTGCACGACCAACCAGGGCCGGGGACAAACTGCAACCGAGGCACATGCCCTTAGTGGGAACTGAACCCGGGTCTCTCCGGGCCGCAGGCCGACGCTCTAACCGCTGAGCCAAACTGGCCAGGGCATGAATACTCTTGAGAAGAGTCTAAAACTTACCCTGGCCGGTTTGGCACAGTGGTTAGAACATCGGCCCGCGGACCAGAGAGTCCCGGGTTCGGTTCCTGCTGAGGGCACGTACCTCAGCTGCAGTTTGTCCCCGGCCCCAGTTGGGGTCTCGTGGGAGGCAAAAAGTCGATGTGTCTCTCTCACATCGATGTTTCTCTCTCTCTCTCTCCCTTCCTCTCTCCCTCCTGCTCTATCTGAAGATGAATGCAAAAATGTACTCGGCTGAGGATAAAAAATTAAAAGAATCTAAAACTCGGTTCCCTCCAAATGCTTCGTCTCCGTGATCCTCCAGGCTGAGCACCCACATTCGCCTGCTCACAGCACGTTCAAGGGACAGGGGCTGCGTGTGAGGACACCTCTGTGGTCATTCTCACAGATGACCACCTAAAAGAGTGGGCGGAGTGTCAGAGTGTTGCTAACCCTCCTCTTGACAGAAATGAGCGCTGTCCCCTGGGTGCGTGGGTCACTTTCTCTCCCAAAGACCTGGCTCTGGGGCCTCCCAGACTCGCCCTCACCTACCCGTCAACTCACCTGTAGCCAGGGAGCACCTCCTGTGCACTGGGGCCCATATGTCCTACTTCTGTAAGAAGTATGCACTGACAGCTTGCAGGGGGTGATTATGTTCAACACGCAGACACGAACTCCCTTCACTGAATTACAGCATAAAGCCATCGCTGCCGTGGCGACAAGGTGACTTTTGATTTGGGGAACGGGTGGCTAACAGAAAGAACACCTGTTTGAGAACTAGGGCAATGGACCGGGGTTCGATCCTGGCCGTGTCACCACAGACAAGTCTATCACCCCTGCCTCCTTGTCTCATCGTTCATGAATTCCTGACTACTTTGTTAGCATCTCCTGTACACCTGGGTCCATGCTTCACTCTGAGGACAGGGCAGCAAATAAGTAAGATACGGTCCCAGCAGACATGGGACTTCCAGTCCAATTCAGGGGGGAAATAACAAGAACCAGGCAAACAGCAGTGTGGCAATGATGGCAAGAACAGCCAAGCTTCACTGAGCGCTCACTACATGCCAGGGCGAGCTGTAGATACGTATCAACCCACTTAATTCTCACCACAACACTGTGCGGTAAGATACTGCTCTTATTCCCATTTTCCAGACCAGGAAACTGAGACCCAAAGAGAGGAACCAATTTGCTCAGGGACACGCAGCCAGGAAGTCACGGCACCAGGGTTTCAACCCAGCCGCGTGCCGTGCCGAACTCAGCTACAAACTGCAAGGGTCATCGATGCCCCAGATGAAGTCAGGGCGCTGAGGTCCGGTCAGGGATGTGGGAGCTGGTGTGGGGGTGCAGATAAGACTTCCCTGAGGAAGTGACATGTCACCCAAGGCCCCAAGGATGAGTAGGAATGAGTCAGGCCAAGTGCAGGGACGAGAGCCTCTGAGGACAGGGAAAGGGACACCGCAGCCGCTGCGGCCCCGGCGTGCCTGCGTGCGGGGATGGATGTGGGGGTCGTCCGCAGCAGTGACGACAATGAACTCTCTCTCCCCTCCCGCCCCCAGAAGCTCTCGGCCAGGGCCCTTTATGACAACGACCCCGACTGCTCCGATGAGCTGGCTTTCTGCAAAGGAGACATCCTGACGATTCTGGAGCGCAATGTGCCAGAGAGCCACGGCTGGTGGAGGTGTTTGCTCCACGGGAGGCAAGGCCTGGCCCCTGCCAACCGCCTCCAAATCCTCGCGGAAGCCCCGGCGGACAGGCCCTGGCCCCCTCTCCTGAGAGGCCCGGAAGAAGCTCTCGCCGGCCCGGAGGAGGTCTACCAGGTGCCCGCCCCGCTCAGCCCCTCACCTCCGGGCCCCGTATACGAGCACATGAAGAGCTGGGTGGAACGACCCCCGCCACCCACAATCCAAGTCTACGAAGTCCCCGAGCTGCCTTCCGGCCCCAGGACGGTCTGTGAGAAGGTGCTGAGATTTCCCAAACAGGTAAGTGTGCTTCCAAGTGAGAGAGGGGGGCTGGTGACGTGTGACAGCCGGGGGCACGCCCCCTTGGTCACTGGTGTCCATCAGGGCAAATGGGCCAAGTGGGAACCAGGCTGTTGGTGTGATGGGGTGAGCTTGGGTTTGGCCCCCGCTTCAGTGGTTCTGTCACCACTGCGATGCCCCAGCTCTGCGGGCACCCATGCTTCACGGGAAACTGATCACGTAGGCCGGCTGTGCCGCAAGGCATTGTGGACGTCCGCGCTGGCCTTCTCCTACCCCGGGTAAGAACGCTAGGGCTGCCAGTCATGACGACGGGGCTGTTACCCACCAGCCCTAACACATGGGTGCCCTTCAGCCCACAAATCGTACTTCGAGCGTGGCTACAGAAATACACGAGAAGGCAGGGACGGACCTGGGTGGGGAGGTCCTGCCACTGTAGCGTTATTTGTCACAAGGAAACATTGAAGCCTCCTAAATGTTTGGGAACAGGGGTGGCCCCTCGATGCTGGCGTACCCCGGCGACAAACGCATGCAGGGGGAACACCAGACGAAGTCGTTCTGTGAGGGGTTTGTACAGGGACGTGGAGAGCCGTTGAAGTGAGCACCGGGCAAACAAAATCTAAAAGTAGCATTCTGTGGTGTGTGTGTGTGTGTGTGTGTGTGTGCGCGCGCGCTCACACAGTGAAGGGAACGCACACCAGCAGTGGTTACCCTTAGGAAGTGGAACTGGTCAAGGAGAAAGTGAAAGGAGGCATTACAAGGCCCTTTATTTTATTCACTCCGGTGCCCCAGCCCCCAGGACTGTGGCCAGCCTCGGTGGGTACCAGTAAATAATAATGAATGAATGGAGAGATTAGGACATTGATGTGCGTTATGGCACAGAACATTTTTTTAAAGAGGGGAGAAGAAGCACTCAGTAAATGCAAAATGAAAAAATAAATAAATAAAAGTTTAAAGAAGGAAAGGAATTAAAAGAAGAGAGGAGAAAGATACTAATGAACTGTTTCGCCCAAGCCCTGGCCTCCGAGAGATGTTAAGAATGCAGAACAGATTCGCAAGGTCTCTGTGGTCTCAGCTCAGATGACACGTCCCAGCTGGCGGCGGCTGTGGGCGGGGGTCCTGACGGGGTCTGCGTCCAGGAATGCCTGCTCCCCCGACGGGTGTGCTGGGGCCCAGGGACATCATGCTTCCAACTCGGGCCTCCTGCACACCAGCCTCCCGCCCCACCTTCAGACACGAAGAGCTGATTCCTTAAAAGACTTGGAACACTTCGGATGTCTTAACTGCCTGGGCTGCCAGGTGGGGAACCAGACAGTTGCCACACCAAACAGCTGCCCCTCGGGCACTGCCTACAAACACCAGAAGGAAGCTGGCTGTGCCTTGGGCGGCAGCGTTTGGGGTACACCCCAAGTTGCTTTTCTAGAACAGCTGGCCCAAACCTCAGCCCCGAGTGCTCAGCAGCTGACCCAGGGCCGATCCTCAGAGCCTGCAGGAAAAATTGGTGGCCTTAGCTGAAATAAATTTAAGTTTCTTTTTTTTTTTTATCCTCATCCAAGGACATTTTTTCATTTTTTGTTCAGATAGAGCGGGAGGGAGAGAGAGGAAGAGAGAGAGAGAGAGAGAAACATTGATGTGAAAGGGACACATCGAGTGGCTGCCACCCGCACGACCCAACCAGGGCCGGGGACAAACTGCAACCGAGGTACATGCCCTCAGCAGGAACCGAACCCGGGTCTCTCTGGACCACAGGCCGACGCTCTAACCGCTGAGCCAAACCGGCCAGGGCTTGAGTTTCTTTTTAAAGCCACGAAAGAAAAAACAAAACCAAAGAAAAAAACAAACGAAAACCATCTCCGCCCACAGTTCGCCAGGTGTCCCTAACACCCAGCACGCCGCCCAGTACACACTGGTTGAACGGAGGGAGTGACCAGTTACGGCACAAGGCTTGCTGACCAGGGGCTTCGCCTTCCAGGCTGACACCTGGTGTACGAGGGAAGATGAGTTCCCTGTCTCAGCAGGAAGGGTCGAGTGCTCGCCGTGAGTTTGTCCTGAAGCCAGTGTGTCGAGGGCAGAGCCCTGGCACGCGGGGGCTACTGCGAACAGACAGAAACCACAGCCACCGGAGGGGAATTCACGAACCAGGGGCTCTCGCCACTCCAGCAGGGCTCTTGAGGTGGACCCAGTAAAACCCCCGGGAAACTTTTCTGCCTTTATTCCTGCTGAGGTTCCCTCTGTGGCTGCCCTGTCTACATGTTTGCTTCCTCCACCCCCCCCCCCCCATTTTATTGCCTTCTCTGTGCTTGGGGGGTCTTGGAGAGCCCCTCTGTAGCCCAAGAAGCAGGGGTCCTGGTTCACGTGGCTTCTGGAGCAGCCACGACCCCGCCGGGCGACTGCAAACGTCAGAACACCCCTGTGTCTTCCTCTTTCTTCCTCTGAATCATGAGAAAGGAGGGCCCGGTTGTTTGTCAAGTCACTCCAGTTGTGCTGTTTCGTGATCCTACATCATCTTGCCACCGCTTCTCCTGCAAGAAGGAACAGATTATCAGTTAGGCATCTTCCGATCCACAAAGCAGGCTGACATCTCCTCCCCGCTTGTGTAACCCAGTTGTTAGTTCTGCCTCTGGGGTACCCAGGAAACACCCGAGGCAGAAGCGGTCATTCCTGGAACAAGGCGTGTCCACTAGCTTCCAGCTGTTTCCAACGGGCGGTCCCCAGGCTGGGAACACGGCCAGATGGACCCATGTCACAGTCTCCCCTTATACCTGGGCCAGCTCTCTCCAGATGAAGGTTGGCCAACAATTAAAAACCGAGATGGTGGAGACACGTCACTTTCCTCATGTTGTTTTAACAGAGGAGCTCACGGCTCAGCCTCGGATGTCCCAACATCTGGGAGGGACCTCTGTGGACCCTTCGATGAAAACAACCCTTCCTTTTACAAATGAGGAAGCGGATTCCTAGGGAGGTGGGACAGCCATCCCGAGAAGCTTCCTTGCTGTGTCTGCATGTCTGTGCGTCTGTCTGCGTCCCTAGACTGCCAACACCCAAGGGCAGAGCCCTCCAGTCCGCTCTTGACCTTCGTTTGCCTGACTCTGTGGCAACACGGTTGACTCTTTGCAGCATGTTTTTTTTTTCTTTTTTTGATTGAAGTGGAACCTACAGATCCTAAGGGTATGGCCTGGTTACTAGGATTCAGATCAAGAGATAGAACAAAGCTAAGAAACAAAACACAAAAACAAAAAAAAGTCACAGAGCAAAGCTAAGACCCAGAAGCCCCTCACGCCTTCTGGTCACTTCCTCCCGGTTAACCCCCTGGCTGAGCTCTGTTTTGCTTTTTATTCCAACTTCCTTAATACAGTACACTAGCCTGACTTTTTTTTTTTTTAATCACCAAACAATTTAAAAAAATATGTCTAATTTTGGCTGAAATTCAGAGAAGGGAATCTCGAGTGTTTCAAGCGGAGAGCGTCCGGTTTCCTGACGAAGCTGCGCTCAGCCCGACAGGTCCCTGAGCTGGCCTCGCCTGCCGTCCCCTCGACCTTTCCAAACGCTGCCTCTCAGATGTGTCCCTAACTCCTGCCATCTCGAGCCTCCGTGTTCCAAGGTCCAGCTGGCTTCCTCCCACCTGGAACCTCCCGACGGAAAGTCCCTCTGCCCCGTGGAGAGGCGGCGGCAGCACGTGTGACCCACGGTGCCAGCTGCATGAAGACAGTGGGACCAGGAGGAATGCGGTCCACAGAACAGCGCTGGGGGAGGCTCTGGGGTGGGAGAGAGCTTGGGGTGTTGGAACACTCGGGTGACACTTCCTTTCCCTCGGTTTTTTTCCTCCCCAAGGCCGTCTTCACAATTCCCAGACCTGCTCAGGCCTCGTCGGCGCCTCTGCCTCTGTACGACGTGCCTGTCCAGAGCCGGGGCCCTCGGGCCCGCAAGGTGAGTCTCCGCCTGGCCCTGCTCCCCCAGGGGCCTCTCCGTCCGCAGCGGGGGTTCTCCGTGTCATGCAGACGACTTCTGGGCACCTGTGTGCTCCTGGGTACGTCGCCACTCAGAAGCCAGCATCCAGGGAGCCCAGACTGCTCAGGAGAACACTGGCATCATTTGAATGCTGACTATGTTCAAAATGTTTACTTTTCACTTGTAACAGCTATTTTATATCCATGCACACACACATATATATGCATACACAAATACACACTTTTAAGAACGATATTTTGAAGAATATACCCGGGTGGGCAAAAGCAGATTTACAGTGATGAGTATGAAAAACATTGAGTTTATTCTTGTGTTATTATTTATTTATTTATTTATTTATTTATTTTTAGGAAGACTATTTTCCTGTATGACTTTTTTTTATCATTATTGAAAGTATTACAGCCCTGGCCGGTTTGGCTCAGCGGTTAGAGCGTCGGCCTGCGGTACAGAGAGACCCGGGTTCGGTTCCCGCTAAGGGCACGTACCTCGGTTGCAGTTTGTCCCCGGCCCTGGTTGGTCGTGCGGGTGGCAGCCACTCGATGTGTCCCTTTCACGTCGATGTTTCTCTCTCTCTCTCTTCCTCTCTCTCCCTCCCGCTCTATCTGAACAAAAAAAAAGAAAGTATTACAGATGTCCCCCCTCTTTTTTCCCATTGACCCCCTCCTCCCTGCTCCCACCCCCCTCCTGTTTCCCCCAAACTGTTTGTGTTCGTTGGTTGTGCACATGAGCATGTAAGTTCTTTGGTTTTCTCCTCCCACCCTCAACCCCTTCCCTTGAGGTTCGTCCGTCTGTTCCCTACTTCCATGTCTCTGGATCCATTTTGTTTGTCAGCTTATTTTTTTCATTATATTCCACAAATAAGTGAGATTATGTGGTACTTCTATTTCTCTGACTGGCTTATATCGCTCAGCATAATACTCTCCAGGTCCCTCCAGGTCCTCTCAGAGGGTACTTCTTTCTTTCTTACAGCTGCATAGTACTCCACTGTGTACATGTACCACAGCTTTTTTATCCACTCCTCTACTGATGGGCACCTGGGCTGTTTCCAGATCTTAGCTGTTGTACATAGTGCTGCTATGAACATGGGGATACATATATTCTTCCTCATTGGTGTTTCAGGCTTCTTAGGGTATATTCCTAGAAGTGGGGTCACTGGGTCAAATGGCAGTTACATTTTTAATTTTTTGAGGAAACACCATATTGTTTTTTATAACAGCTGCAGATTATTATTTATTTATTACCATTTTGTTTTCCATTCAAACAACTGTAAACCTACTTTTGGCTCCAACCTGTACATCACAGTCTTAACATCATCACTGGTTATATTAACATTGATTGCCTCTGGGGGGTGGAATTTTAGGTGGTTTTCTTTTTCTTTTTTTTCTTTTAACCTATTTGTATGTCCCTGGTACATCAGATTACTGAGGCCTGCTTCATGGACCCAGAGCACAGCTTCAGTCATTTCTTAGCCCATCCACAGCCCTCTGAGGCCGCGCTCTCTCCATCCCATCAATGTGGGAAGGACCACCTGCAGATTTAACCACACCTGCTACCCAGCCCAAAGACTCTTATTTTTTTTTAAATCCTCACCTGAGGTCATGCTTTTATTGATTTTGAGAGAGAGAGAAACATCGATATGAGAGAGCTATATCGACTGGTTGCCTCCTATACGCACCCCAACTGGGATCTAACCCACAACCTAGGTATGTGCCCTGACCGGGAATCAAACCCACAACCTTTTGGTGTACGGATGATGTTCCAACTGGCCAGGACCCCCAAAGACTCTTGTGGGTGGTCTGAGTGGGGCCCTCTCCAAACTCCAGCTTCTCTCTGCTTCTTTGCAAACCCGTCTTGGGGCTCTCTCAGCTCTCTTGGGAGCACGGGACCCACTGTTCACATCCTCATCTGTATATTTGCTAATTGTTGCACACACAAAAATGCATATGCTCTATACAGCCACCCTACCTATTGCTCGTTACTGGGTGTATGCATGTCATTCGGCTTAGAGTCTATAGTCAGCACTCAGTAAATATTTGCAGGATGCACACATGAGTAATAAGCCCAGGAAAGTTTCTACTGAGAAACAAAGAAAGACAGAGGACATACAAAGCCCCAGTCTCAGCCCTGCCAGTGTGCCTCAGTGGCTGAGCGTCGACCCTGCACCAAGAGGTCGCTGGTTCAATTCCCGGTCAGGGCACATGCCCAGGTTGTGAACCGGATCCCCCCTGGGGGGCATGCAGAAGGCGGCCAAATGATATGCTCCCTCATCGACGTTTCTATCTCTCTCTCCCTCTCCCTTCCTCTCTCTAAAATCAATTTTAAAAAAATTTAAAAAAAAAAACAAAAACGAAGCCCAGTCTCATTTACTCTCCCGTAACTCAGTCTCCAGGCTACCTTCCAGAAGGTGAGGGACTGCCGTTGTTTTTTTTTATTTCAGGTAGAGTGGGAGGGAGAGAGAGGAACAGAGAGAGAGAAACATCGACGTGAAGGGACACATCGAGTGGCTGCCACCCGCACGACCAACCAGGGCCGGGGACAAACTGCAACCGAGGTACATGCCCTTAGCGGGAACCAAACCCGGGTCTCTCCAGACCGCAGGCCGACGCTCCAACCGCTGAGCCAAACTGGCCAGGGCGGGACTGCCGTTTTTAACTCAGGCAACGGCAGCTCGTTCCTGTCTGCTTTGTCCTCCCTTCGGTTGAGAAGCATCTTTTCAATGCACGAAGTTCATTGTTGAAAATACGCCCACAGCAGCCCATCAACCTCCACCGCAGCGCCTCGAGACCGAGAGCCCCCGAATCCTCAGTGGTCTGGGGGAGTGTGTGATGGGTTGGCCTCCAGGAAGGAAAAATCCACATTGTCCTGCCTTGTGGTCTTCCCCCAGGAGCCGGAGGAGCAGCACTTATACGACATACCCGCCAGACCCAGAAGGGCAGCATGCGGTCCCCCGGCTGGCCAGCCCAGCGTAAGTATGAGCGGGAGCTGAGGCTCGACGCGTGAACATCTGCAGAGCCCCTGGGCCAGTCGGTCGCTTGGCCAGAGCGCTCAGCTGCAAGGTCCTCGTCGCCAGCAGCATTTGCCCGGAGACCCTGGCTGCAGTGCGCTCGGGATCAGTCCCTCACTTCTGCAGCCTCCGTTTCTGTTACAGACTCATGACGAGCACGGGCTGGTCCCCGGGAGGGACCCAGAGCAGTGCTGGGCTCAAAGCAAGGGCCCAGCAGACCCTAGATAAATGCTTCTTGCCCATGTAGACCTCAGAGAGGTGCTGTGTTGAGTGGGATTTTATTGCATCTCGGGGGAATGCCTTCGTTTGAAATCTGTGTCGTCGGTGTTTATCCTTGCCGTCTGTCACGTGTATACCGTGGACACAGGCTGCCAGGGAAGGCCTTCCAGGAGAGGTGGCATCTCCGCAGTGTCGCGGGGGGTGCCTAGGAGTTTGTCAGATGGGAAAGGAAGGGCTGGGAAGGCATTTAGAGCAGGAGGACCGGCGTGGGCGAAATTGGCTATCGCAGTATGAGGTGACCGTCCTGAGTTCAGGAAAAGGTGAACAGCCTGGGCAGCTGGACCTACAGGGAGGGAGGAGGCAGGCGAGGCAGGGAACCTGATGGGAGCAGGAAGCAGGAGAGAGGAACCAGGCTGTGAAGGGCCGTGAGTGACCATGGCAATAGGGAGCCAGCGCAGACGCTTGAGCAGGGGAGTGGCGATCAGCACAGTGCCCAGCGCCTCAGGCCCTCAGTATAACACACATTTATCAAATGAGCTGCTCACACCTCTCTTATTGCTACTCAGCTGGGTGACTGTGTGTGGTTGTCCGCAGAGGCAGAGTGCCCCCGTGACATCAACCGTTGCCTTAAGGAGAGCCTGCTACAAAACATTACCAAACCCTCAGAAATCAGAGTGGATTTATGACACCCCGACATCAGCTGGCGTGAGAAATGCGTCTCTAACCAGTTCTGTGGATGAATCGGGGCCCTGCGGTCCCCCCAGACACATGGCCTATCTCCACTGTCCTCCAAATAGCAGCGCGAGGTCCCTCACTCCACACCTGCATGAAAACGTGCCCAAGCAGAAAAAACTGAGCCTTCCCGAAATTCCCGCTTGTCACATTCCAGCGCCCCGGAACGCCAGCCCTTCAGATGGAAGTGTCAGCTACAAGGTCCCTTCGAGCTTTCTGAGACCCCGTGTGGAACAGCAAAACACCATACCCAACATCTACGACATCCCTAAAGCCCTGTCAAGTGCCCCTCGGCCTGGACAAGAGCTGGGCAAAGCCACACCAGGGGCCCCAGAGAAGGACATGGACCCTCCCTGCGCGAGGTTCTCCAGAAAGGCCCCACGGTCCTCTCCCGAGCTGGACAGGTTATCCGTGAACAGTTCCGACAGCAGGGCCAGCGTCGCTTCCTCCTGCTCCTCCACGTCCACCGACTCTTCCTGCAGCCTCTCTTCCGAGGAGTCAGCAAAGGAGCTGCCCTTGGACCTGGACGTGGCCAAAGGGATGGTCACGGTGCTGCAGCACAAGGTGGCCAGCTCCATCGCGGGCCTGATGCTGTTTGTCAGCAGCAAGTGGAGGTCCAGGGACTATCTGGAGGCCAACATCGATGCCATCCGCAGGGCCGTCGACCACATCCAGGACTCTCTGGGGGAGTTTCTGGATTTCGCCCGCGGAGTCTGCGGGGCCTCCTCGCACCTCACCGACAGCAACCTTCAGGCCAGAATTAGGGACCAGCTGCAGACGATCTCCAACTCCTACCAGATCCTGCTCGAAGCCAAGGGGAGCCTGGACGGCTGCCACTGGTCCCTGGACGTCCTGGTGACAGAGAAAGTGCAGAACAGCCGGGATGACCTTGAGAGGTTCGTCCTGGTGGCACGGATGCTCCCAGAAGACATCAAGAGGTTCGCCTCTATCCTCATTGCCAACGGGAGGCTCCTCTTCACGCAGAGCTGTGCAAAGGAGGGGAACGCGCCCTTGGCCCCCGGCGCGGACGTTGAGCTTGCGGAGCGCATCCGGCCTCCCCAAAGCGGGGGAGAGTCGCAGCAAAGGAGCGCCCCTTTGGCTGGACAAAGGGAAAGTGAGCACTGCCCGGAACTGCTGAAGAAAAACTGGACCAACCTCTGTGAAAACGTGAGTTCGGAGTCCCAAGGGCTGTCAGGTCGAGGGGCTGTCAGGTCGAGGGGCCGTCCGTGCCCACGTGGCGTGGTCCCGGTCAGGGAGGTGCTGAGAACCTGTCAACAGTGGCTCCAGCATCCAAAAGAGTAAAATTCGTGGAAGGAAAACTCTAGGCGAAATCTTGTTAAGAACTAAGATAAGTATTTTAGTGTTAAGGCAGGAGGGACACCTGGAAATTTGGGGGTCTGTGGTCTATCTCGGACGCCAAGGTGAGAGAGAATTTTAAAAGGCCTTTGAGATCCATTCTTGGAGCAAATTTTATCCTCTCCCCTTCACGTTTTCTTGCATGTTTGAAAGCTATAGATGTAGACAGCGTTAGTGCGCTTCTCAGAAGCAGAGGAGGGAGAAAGGGAGTCTGTGTGTCATTAGCCCAGTTATTGGTAGACACTCTTCAGCTCTTGGGCACCCAGAGTGGCCTTTGTTGAAAAGCATCAGCACACAGGACAAAAACATAAAGAGGATGCCCTGGCTGGTTTGTCGCAGTGGTTAGAGTGTCAACCCGCAGACCAAAGGGTGGCAGGTTTGATCCCTGCCCCTGTTGGGCAACCAATCGATGCCCCTGTTGGGCAAACCAATCGATGCCCCTGTTGGGCAAACCATCCATGTTTCTCTCTCTCTCTCCCTTCCTCTCCTCCAAAAATCAATGGGAAATAAATCCTCAGATGAGGATTAACAACAACAAATACATACAGAGGAGTGCTCACACTTTAAAGTGGACTTAAAGAAAACCACTCAAGTCCAGCCAGTGTGACTCAGTGGTTGAGTGTTGACCCCTGCACCAAGAGGTCGCTGGTTAGATTCCCAGTCAGGGCACGTGCCCAGGTAGTGGGCCTGATCCCCAGTGGGGGGCATGCAGGAGGCAGTCGATCGATGTTCTCTCTCATCGATGTTTCTATCTCTCTCCTTCTAACTTCCTCTCTCTCTAAAAATCAATAAAGGGAAAAAAAAGAAAAGAAAAAGAAAACCGTTCAAGGGGTTGATTCAAAACGATTGTCTTTCTCAGCAGGTGCCTCACCTGGAAGAGAAAGTAAAACCCATCTTGGAAGAAAGGCTGGATGAAAACAAAGTTTTAGAAACGCAGGTAAGTGATAAGGGCTCACCCTCCAACACCCTCACCGGCTGCGCTCTCCCCCGAGTCACACTGGCCAGGCACACTTCATGTACCACCATCTCCTATAGGGTTTCTCTTTCTTTCTTTCTCTTTCTTTTTTAATCAAAGATGCTATCATTGGGCTTATTTTTATTGATGACCTTTTCTGAGTGGCAAATGACAGTAGTTTGTCATTTACCAATTGAAAAAGTCCCTCTTACATTAATATGAGTGGATCCATTTAAAGACGGAGATTAAGTGAGTTGACCTTAGGAGGAAGGCAGAAAGGGCGTAACGTGTGACGTCTTCTTTGAATAACTGCAGCCTGGGAGGCAGGGAACAAGTTCAGCCCCCTGGGTGGCGTAGGGAGAGGGACAGCGATGTCCAGTCGTGCGGGAAAGATCATTTGCCTTGTCAGAGGTCAACTAGGACCAGAACCCAGACCTCCCGGTACTCAGTTCCCCAAGCCTCAAACACCACTCCTTGGACCTGCCAGATTGCGGAGTCACAGTCTTTCTATTTGTTGTTTGTTTTTCTGAATCCTCACCCCAAGATATTTTTCCATTGATTTTTTTTTTTTTTTATCCTCACCCGAGGACATTTTTCCATTCTTTGTTCAGATAGAGAGGGAGGGAGAGAGAGGAAGAGACAGAGAGAAACATTGACGTGAAAGGGACACATCGAGTGGCTGCCACCCGCACGGCCCAACCAGGGCCGGGGACAAACTGCAACCGAGGTACATGCCCTTAGCGGGAACCAAACCCGGGTCCCTCCGGACCACAGGCTGATGCTCTAACCGCTGAGCCAAACTGGCTGGGGCTGATTTTTTTTTTTTTTAATAGAGTAGAAGGGAGGGAGGGAGAGGGAGAAAGAAACATCCATGTGATATGCAACAATCCATTGGTTACCTCCAGCACAACCCAGGGATCGAACCTGGGAGCCAACACTGTAACCGCTGAGCCAGGCCAACCTGGGTGAAAGTCATGCTGTCTTGTCCAACATGAAGTGTGCCTTAGACCAGTGTCTCTCAAACTGGAGAGTGTACCACCATCTCCTATAGGGTTTCTTCAAACCCAGAGGCCCCACTCCCAGTTTCTGACTCTGTAGGTGTGGGGTGGGACCAACAATTTATTTTCTAACACATTCCCAGTGAACCTAATACAGCGGGTCCACAGACCGCACTTGGAAAACGACTGCCTCAGGCAGACACTGCTTCTCAGTGGGGGTGGGGCACCGCTGACCACGGGGGACAGTTCTGCGTTGTGTGGGTGGACACCCAGCACCCCTAGCTCCTGCCCTCTGTCTGCCTGCAGTGCTGCTGGGTCCGTGTTAATCGACAGCCAGAAATATCTCCACACAATTCCAACCCCCACAGAAGAATCCGAACGTGTTTATTTGTCCACAGTTAACAATTTCAAGCTAAGATGCAGACGTTCTGTGTCTACATTGTTGCTTCTCCCTCCAGCCTCTGCTGTAGCATCTCATGCTCTTGCCCCCAGAGATCCATCTCAGCCAACAACCCGATCTTGTCTTCACTTTTCCTGACTATCTAAGTCCGTCTGTGCTGCTGTAACAAAGTCCTGTGGACAGGGTGTATTGCTCACGGTTCTGAAGGCCAGACGTTTGAAAACAGGGTACCAGCACGGTCAAGTTAGCGCTCCATGATTCCTAGAAGGGCACTGATCCCATCCACGGGGCCCCACCCATGTGACGTCATCTAATCCTATCACCTCCCAAAGGCATGTCTCTTCTTGCGTTCATATGGGAGGGTAGAGTGTCAACATATGAATTTGGGGAGGACACCATCAGACCATCACACGGTCTGAGTGCTTCTGGGCTGTGCACGTTGAGATCAGAGGTCGATGAGAGGGTGCTCAGCTTCATGGAAAGAATGAGTTTCAGGCTTCACCGACTTCCATAGACCTCCAGACCTTCATTCTGCTCGTTGAGTGACTCTGGGCAGAGAGCCCCAGTCTCCTCACTTACCACCTGACAATGGGGCTCTCGACTGTTACCTGGACACTAAGTTAGGTGCTGAGAAGCTTTCCACAGTGGTAGGCTTTGTGGGGCACCCTGGTTCCATATTCCAAGAAATAAAATTCATAAAAGTAAAATTCTAGCCCTGGCCAGTTTGGCTCAGTGGTTAGAGCGTCAGCCTGTGGTCCGGAGAGACCCGGGTTCGGTTCCCGCTAAGGGCACGTACTTCGGTTGCAGTTTGTCCCCAGCCCTGGTTGGTCGTGCGGGTGGCAGCCACTCGATGTGTCCCTTCACATCGATGTTTCTCCCTCTCTCTCCCTTCTTCTCTCTCCCTCCCACTCTATCTGTAAAAAAATGGAAAAATATCCTCGGGTGAGGATTAAAAAAAAAAAAAAAGTAAAATTCTAGATGAAACCTTATAGCAAGGGGAATATTTTCATATGAAGGCAAGTCAGTGAGTATGCTTAGATTTCTTCTGAAAAAAGCCAAGGTTCAGGTTTTACCTCCTGATACTGGAGTCAGAAAGGATTTTTTTAACATATGTTTTTATTGATTTTTTTAGAGACAGAGGAAGGGAGAGAGAGATAGAAACATCCATGTGAGAGAGAAACATCGGCTGCCTCCTGCACGCCCTCCGCTGGGGATCGAGCCTGCAATCCAGGCATGTGCCCTGACCGGGAATCAAACCGGGACCTCTCAGTCTGTAGGATGATGCTCAATCCACTGAGCCACACTGCCTGGGTTAGAAGGGATTTTTTTTTATCCTTACCCAAGGACATCTTTGCATTTATCTTCAGATAGAGCAGGAGGGAGGGGGGAGGAGAGAGAGAGAGAGAGAAACATCAATGTGAGAGAGACACATCGAGTGGCTGCCACCCACACGACCCCAACCAGGGCCAGGGACAAACTGCAACTGAGGTACGTGCCCTTAGCGGGAAATGAACCCGGGACTCTCTGGTCCACAGGCCGATGCTCTAACCACTGAGCCAGGGCAGAAGGGATTTTTTTAAATCCTTAAAATCTGTTCTTTGAGAAAATATTTTAATCTCACCATTAAGTTTTCTTGCATTTTTGGAAGTTATATATTGGGTCATTGTCAATGTGTTTCTCAGAATGGGTTTCTAATGGTTTGTTGAGAGAATTGAATAAGATTTTATATATTTGTACATAAAATATGTAACGTTATATGTCGTGTAATGTGCAAGGTTATCTATATGATAGTTTTTAAGTAACAGTGCTTTGAAAACACGAGCATTAACTTGTGAGGCAAACGTCACACGAGGGGCTTCCTAAACAACTTTGCACTTTTTCTTATAAAAAGTCTGCCGGAGAGAGTGAAAAAGGAAAAGGGAACCGAGCACAGCCTGTCGATAGACTCCATCTCTTATCTACCATTTTCTTCCCCTTCTCTAGAATCCCAGCTCCCCTGCGGCCCCTCTGGGTCGGCAGGACCCCAAGAAGAAGGTCCACCTGTCGGAGCACTGTCGGCTGTATTTCGGGGCCCTCTTCAAAGCCATCGGCGTCTTCCACGGCACCCTCAGCCACAGCCAGCCCCCCGAGATCTTCATCGCACAGAGCAAGCTGGTCATCATGATAGGACAGAAGCTGGTGGACACGCTGTGCAAGGAGACCCAGGACAGGGACGTGCGCAATGAGATCCTCTGCGGTGGCAGTCACCTCTGCAGCCTGCTCAAGAACCTGGCTCTGGCCACCAAGAACGCGGTACTCAAGTACCCAAGCCCCGCAGCCCTGGGACACCTCCAGGCTGAGGCTGAGAAGCTGGAGCAACACACACGGCAATTCAGAGAGACACTGGAATGAGCCTCCCTCCCTCCCTTCCGTGGGACTCTGTGTGTGGGGTAAGCCAGCCTGGGGTACACTGATGCGCGGAAACCACTGTGTGCTCAAAGCCAGTATCATCAGTGCCCAGACAATCCCAGGACATTGGCTTATCCCACAGGGAGCCAGAGAAGAGCGATGGGTGTTAAGTAAGGACCTTGCTAAGTATTTATCACGTAAGGTCAGCGTATAAAGTGATATTGTAGAAACCTAATTTTGTATTGGTTAAATGTACGCCTGTTTGAAATTCATTCATTTAATATTTATTTATTGGGCACCTACTATAAATCAACTTTTAGGTGCATGTAACAGTAAATTAAACAGAAACCTTGCCCTCAGGGAGCTTACAATCTAATAACAATCAAGTAGCAGAGAAATACATATAGAATATATCAGGTGCTAGGGAGAAAACGAAGTCAGGGAGGGGGAAGACACTTATTTTCAAATGAGTAATTTTTGTTGCATTTGTTAGATAAGGTAATATGGATTTCATTTTTGATTGAATTAATTCTGTGAGATTGCTACAAATTATGTATCTGTATCTTATACCAAATGTATATTTATATTTACTATTCTGTCATCACCAAGTCAAAGACGCATACTATATTTGCAACATAGCCTGTTCTGCTGGGTTCCCTATTAATTTATTTTGTACATTGTAGATTCTGTGTTGACAAATTCAGAATGCTCAGTCAGCAAAGGTTTATACCTCAACATTTACGGTGTTACCATTTATACTATTATGTAAATATAATCATGAAACATCCTTTGCACCAATGCCTTCCTTGGAAAAGTCTTTGATCCATGTTACCCTGGGTTCTGATACCAAAGTAAAGCCTCCAATGTTTACTGTTATTATTCAAATGCTTCTCCCCACAGGGCGCAGTGGGGCCCGAGTTCTCGAGTGCAAGGCTAGCACGGGAAAGCAAAGCCCTCCCTCGTTGTGGTCCAGCCAGGAAGTGTGGTGGGGACAGGATACCTATCTCAGATCTAAAAGTGGCTCACAGCTCCCTCGCATCAAACCACCTCCTCTTCTCCTAACGGCTGGGTCTTTAGCTCATGTGGCTACAGTCACATCATCCCTACTTCACTTCAAGTGAAGGTCCACATTCCTGTCTGCATCTCAGCCACGGAATAGCATCTCCCGGCTGCACGTCACCTGCAGTGGAATCAGGTTCGGCTCCTGTCTGCTGCTCCACACTTCGTAGACGTTTTTAAATTGTTGGCTGCTGAAGGCTGGCTATTCCGCCGTTCGTCTCGGCTCCCGAAAAGGAGCCCACTTGGTGAGTCTCGGTTCTCTACACGACAGCGGGAGAGGCACCTCCTCTGGACAGTCGTGATCTGCTCAGTCAGGACTCCTTCTGCTACAAGTGATCAGAGCCCATATATCCACCCCTCCTACGCAGGGCAGGGAATGTATCGACTCACGTATCTTAAAATCACCCAGAGGCCGACTGACTTCGAGACCAGCTGGTTTCAGCTGTGGCTCAGTTGGTTGGGCGCTGTCTCGTGCACCAAAAGGTTGCTGGTTCAACTCCCGGTCAAGGGCACACGCCCAGGTTATGGGCTTGATCCCAGGTAAAAGGCAGCCAATCCATGTTCCGCTCTCACATCGATATTTCTCTTTCTCTCTCCCTCTCCCAACCTCTCCCTCTAAAAATCAATTTTAAAAAAAGACCTGCTGGTTTGGGGGCTGCAACGGTATGCACAAGGCCCAATTTTGAGTCTCTACTTTCTCTGAGTTAACGCTCATGATGACACAGTGGCTGCCCCGTGTTCTTGATTTGTGGCCAGAGGAGAAGAAAGAGACTTGACTCTACTTGGACTATCTGAGACCGGGTACCTGCCCCTCAAAGCTTCATGAGCAGGGCATGTAATGCCCAAGTGGACCCAGACCTGGGATTCACCCCTACACACACACACACACACACACACACACACAAACACACACGTGTCCTGAGAGAAGCAAAGAGCTGTCTCTACCAAGAACTGCACAATTCTGAGATTCCCCCCTTCTTCAAATTGATGTTAGCCCATCACAGTTTCATGGATGCGGACAGAAGACATGAGATTCTGGGGTCAGAGACAACGTTGGGGGTCCCCAAGACCACCCCAGGTCCACTGATTTACGCGGAGGATTCAGGGAATAGTCAGACCCTGGGCCGGGCTCTGTCACAGGGAAAGGACACAGGAAGGGAGAAGGCGGGGGGTGGGGGGTGTGAGTGCAGAGGAATCCAGGCTGCAGCTGCCCAGACCCCTCTCCCAGCGGCCACACAGGACAGCCTGTCTCTCCCCTGGTAACGACTTGTGACAACACACCTGAACGGCCAGCCGGGAAACTCGCGAGAGCCTGGGCACCCAGGACTCTCACTGGGGTGATCACGCCGGCAGCCTCTGCCTGGCACGTGCTGAAATTCCGGGCTCTCGGAAGGAAAGCAGGTGTTCGGCAGGAGGTACACTGTGCACACAGTGCAGCACACTGAGCCGTTCTTACCAACTCTGGCGCTGGTGGGAACCCTCCCCAGCTCCAAGTTCCTGCAACCTTGCAAGGATGTCCTAGTAGCCTCAGATCCTTCTAAGGATGTTGGTCAGGCCCGCTGTGCACAGGGACAAAGACTTGTTTGACAGCATTACAAGAGCTTATGCTTTGTATTGACATGCCCCCAAAGTCCGGTGGGCACATGCGACACCGTGCACACAGGGGGTTGTGTCAAAACCAAAGAACGCCGAGCGTAGGAAACCCCAATCTTCAACAGGATCTGTGCAGCGTTGCCCAAGCTTCGCCTTAGAGATATCTTGATGATCGGAGGCAGCAAACAAAGCTGCCCTTCTAAGCCACCTGGCTCCAGAGAGGTTTGCTACAAACAGAGGACAGAACCTGCCTCTGCTCAGAAGACGTGCAGAAGCACAAGAGACCCTGGACAACGGTTGCCCAATGGAAGCCCCTGGCAAAGTCAGGAGAGTTGTTGGCAGGAGGGGTTGCTGCCGGGAGCACCGGTCACTGTTTACCCCAGTGGGCACAGTGATCGTCTACACAACAGTAATGTCAACAGCACCTTTACACTGAGCACTGCGTTCCGACACTGTTTCAACGCTTGCGATGTTGTAACTCACTTAGTCCTCCAGAGGTGATACAGTCTCTGGTAGGTAATGAACAGGTCTGTATTGCTTTCAGAACACTCTGTGTGTTTGGATGTACATAGACACAAATATATACGGAGATACATCTACATCATATAGTTTTTTTTCGATGAGTTCAAACCCAAGACCTTTGCTGACAAAGCACAAAACGGTTGGGTTGAAAAGAATAAAAACTGCTGCTCTTAGCTAAATGTGTTTCCTTCCTTTTTTTTTTGAAAGGCAGCAGTTATGGGACGTTTCCACTGATTAAGTCAATAGAATAATTACTTCTGAAAAAAATTTAGAAGTAGAATAAGATGACAGTTTGGGGCTTTGGGCCTCGTTTTGCCGAGTACTTTGAATGCCCAGAATTCCGCCGTGCTTCCTCCCAAGGTAGGAAGAGGAAACGGTGGGCGTTACGGTGGTGGCAACAACTTGACCTCAATTAAGCTGCATTTCATCTGGAGGATGGAAGTGGTGACGAGCCTCGCTGAGATCTTCCAGTGTGACAAGCACTGGGGAGCCCTGTTGCTGGTTTGGTGGTAACTTAAAAAATAAATAAATAAAACAGCCTTTAAAAATGTAGGTCCCTCCCAGGTCTCCAAAAGCTGCCTGCTTGCCAAGTTTGCTTATTCGGGTAAACTACATGCTAATGTCCTTTTTTCCCCCATCCAGGGAAGAGTGTTCCTGGAGAGGGAACAACAGCAGGACAAGAAGCGTCCAGAAGTGGAGGGGCGCCTGGAGAGCGCCAGGAAAAGGGGGGCCCTCGGTGTGGCTGGAGGGAGTCAGGGAGAGAAGAGGGGGCGGCCAGGGCCAGTTCACATAAGCCCTGCCTGTCCCTGGAATGTTTTAACTATTTCCCTAACATTGCCGATTAAGAGTGAATGTTGTCTTGAATGATCTCAGTGATCAATTTTCCACCTCGTTTTACTTTAACCTTCTTTGGGACATCCTCCGAAGAGAATGGTTTTAAGGTTCTGAAAGAATCCTAACCTATCGTTGTTTTTTCATGCTGACTTAAAATGAGTTACTCTGCGTGTCAGCTTTTTCCGGACAGACTTTTGAACGCAGCTATGAATGAGTACACGGGCAGACCACCAGGAGGTCGAGCCCGCCACAGCCCAGGGGCTGAAGTAGCTGGCACACCATTGTAACAGGCAGTATAACGTTTCAAGCATTGGGCTCCAGGAGCCTGTGGATGAAATACATACACATATCAACCACAGCCAAGTCTCCTATGTACTCATGGATACTTCTCTGGGAATAAGTCCTCAGTTTTCATCAAAGTCTCCAGCAGGTCCAGTGACCCCCAAAATGTTAAGAAACCCTGGTTTGCTAACGAGTGATGGTTTTCTTTTTCTTTCTTTTTATTTTATCCTCACCCAAGGACATTTTTCCATTTTTTGTTCAGATAGAATGGGAGGGAGAGAGAGAGAGAAACATCGATGTGAAAGGGATACGTTGAGCGGCCGCCAGCCGCAGGACCAAACAGGGCTGGGGACAAACTGCAACCGAGGTACGCGCCCCTAGCGGGAACCGAACTTGGGTCTCTCCGGAGTGCAGGCCGACGCTCTAACCACTGAGCCAAACCAGCCAGGGCTGATGGTTTTCTTTTATTTCACGGTTTCCTTCCTCTTCCTGCTGTTCAAATCTGCAGCTTGACTGGAGCAACACTGTCACCGAGGATCCTTGCAAAGGGATGTCCATGATCGGTTCGTTCAACAAAGGCAGCAGAGAGGAGGGGCAGGGACGCGGCTGCTTCCCAGAGAGGCTGGGAGAATGAAATGGCTCAAATCAAGCCCAAAATGCAGAGCCTGACACACAGCCAGCTCTCAACGCAAATGAGTTGCTATTGATGATGATAATAATAAGCCACAGAAATGCGTTAGCTGTGTTTAGTCTGTGGCACAGAGTCGCCTAGAGACCAGTATTCTAAAAGAGGAAACTGAGGAGGAAGAGAAAAAACATTTACCGGCCAAGCTTCAAGGCCCACAAGCAGCATCATGAATGTCAGCAACAGCTTCTGGGAGTGAGGTCAAGGAACACGGTGTTTGTGGTTCGATGGGACTCACTGGAGAAAATCCCTCATCTACCACTCCGACTCACCGCTGTGTGTCCCGGGCCCCAGGACATCTTATCCACCTGAGTCTTAGGTTTGTCATTTGGAAAAAAGAAGGTATTATAGCCCTTACCTCCTCAGCACGCTGTAAGCACAGAAGGCAAGAATGAAAACCGCCCAGGGCATGGTCTTATAAAGAGCTGCTCTTTTTATTTTTTCTTCCCCAAATAAACTCAGTGAGGGGCAGATTTGGTTGCCAAAAGTGCCCTGGTTTGAGAGTCTGTTTAAAGATCCTCGGGTTTGTGCTCTTCTGTATCTGACTTTCTGTTGCTGAGGGGACAGAAAATCTTGGAACCCATTCCCAGCTCTCAGTTACGAGCTGTGTGACCTTCAAGAAGTCGTTTGACCTTCCCAGGCTTCTGTTTCTCACCTGTAAATGGGATCTGAAGAGTGCTTATCCATTTCAGGGGCGGCCGTAACTGGGCGTGTCCCTCCTCCCTGAATGACTCTGTACTTTCTTTAGAAAGTTCTGGAGGAAATGGCTACGGAGCCTGCCAAAGACTCTTCTAGGCACTGAGGATAGAACAGGGAATCAAACAAAGTCCCTACCCTCACGGACTTTACAATTCTTGTGATTGGCATAGAAATAAACCATGCATAAGCCAATGAGAGACCCACTGATTAGAGGGTTTCTTTTCTTTTAATTCCCATTAGTTGCAATAACAGAACACCCCATTTTATAGCTCTTCAAGTTTTCACAGGCACATCTTTTCTGTTCCCAAGCAGGGAATAATTTCTTTCAGCCTTTTAATGTTTCACCTCGGCCAACATGGTAACATCCAATTGTATTGGCCAGCCTTCCTGGCAGCGGGTAGGTTTCTCCTAGCATGGATAATAATTAATGGAACAAATAAGAGCAGACGAGCGTGAATGTGAGCAAGAGCTTTTGCCAGGGATTTGAGTTCTCCTTAGAGATACAACACAGCCTGTGTCTTGGGAAGGGCATTTAAACATCAGTGTACCTTTCATAATTTTATCCCTGCTTTTTAATATATAGAATCTTTTTTTTTTTTTCAGACTTAGGAGGCGGTGGGTGAAAAACACACGTGTCCAAACGGTGTGCAAAATGTCATATATACACAAGATGCCTGAGAGTATCGAAAGTGTCGGGCTTTGGATCAAGGATCTCGCTGCCCCAGAATCACCTCCAACAGCCTTTCACTGACTTGCTGTCAGTGCTGGGGGCGCAGTTGGGGCTCCACAAAGAAGCGGCCTTTTCTCTAGCAGATCCCCGATTACTGAACAATGGATCCCACTCGCAGGCATCGCTAATCGCGTTAATAACAAGCGGCCCTAATCCGCGAGGCTCACGGCTGCACAGACGGGCTGGAGGGGGACGCGGGCCCAGAGCCGGGCGCTCCCGAGTCTCCCCCGCCCGGGAGCGTGGGCGAGTTTGACGGCGGCGCAGCACAAACCCAGCGCCCCCCGGAAAGAGGTACGGGCAGGCGGCGCCCCGAGAGCGGAGGGCACACTGAGCACCCCACTCGGCGCGCGAAGCCTCCCACACCGCGGGGCCGCGCCCAACGCCTAGCGACGCTCTCCTTGGCAACCGAAACTCGGCAGCGGGCCCGCCCCGCGGCGTCGAGACGGGCGTGTTGCGTCACAGCGGCGCGCCGGAAGTGACCTCAGCGGTCGCCTGAGACTCCGGAAGTTGACTCCGCGGGGGATTGTTGTCGACTCTGACCCCTGGCTTGCGATGGGTTGCGACGGGGGTACCATCCCCAAGAGGCACGAGCTGGTGAAGGGGCCCAAGAAGGTTGAGAAGGTCAGCGACGCGGGCCCGATGGGAACGGGGGGGCCCCCCAGGAAGCGAGGAGAGGTGGGGGTGGGGCAGCGGGTTTCCAGACGCGGCGGTGCTCTTTGAACCCTTTCGGAGAGCTCAAAACGAACGAGAGTATAAACAACGGACCTTTATTGCGTTCTTGCTGTTGCCATCCACCCGGCGGCACCCGTACTTAATGTGGGGTGTCAAGCGGGCCTCACATCGGTCCAGACGGTCCCCGTCCTCACTTTGCAGACGTGGACGTGGACGGTGCCGGGCCAGGACTTGAAACCTGCCTGCCGTGTAACGGTGATGCAAACGGCTGCCGCTTACCGAGCTTTCGTGCGCTAACCTCGTCCCAAACGTCCCCCTGTCCCCGCGAGGTCAGGTCCTTCTCCCCAGACCACACTACCCCCGTACACGGCGTTCCTGGAGGATGAATGTCGGTCTCAGGACAGAAGTCAGCTCCCGGTGCAGGGTCCGTGCCTCTTCTCCCGCCGCAAGTGGCGCGGTTCCCAGCACACTGCGGGCAGTGTGATGACCTCGTGGATGAGTGGCTGATTCCTCATTCTCACGGGTAATCGATCACATCAGATCTGATTGCCATGCTGTAGGGATATTGAGTCAGGGCCACGACCCAGATCTCACAGCCGGTAGGTGGTGAAGCCAAGAGTCACGTTCATTTCCTACGGATTTCAAAGTTAGGACTAGTAATTGCTTTTTAGTAACAAAGCAAGTAAAGCACCGCGTAGGGGGTGTCACGGTGTCAGGTCTCTGTGCCCCGCTACAGCGTGGATTTTGATAAAAGTTATGTGAGCTGTCGACGTGTGGCTTTGGATCTGGGGAGTGGAGAGAAGAACAATCGCAGGAGTGTGGGTTGGGTTTGGAATAATAGAGTAGTGATGAAAAACATGGTCCCTGGAGCCAGCATGCACTTATTCTAGCCCCTTCGTCTAACTGCTCTGTGACCTCTTGGTGCCTCACTGCCCTGGACAGTACTGAGTCATGGGTTGTTTATGAGGCTAAACGATGAAGTTACAGAAACTGCTCAGCACAGCAGGCACTTAAGCAGTTGTCGCTGCAAAAATCAAATTTAAGGGAATTTTTTTCCTTTTTCTATTTCTGTTTTCTCCCAAATGTGCCATCTTGTTACAATTATTCCGGTTTGGCACTTTAGGAAAGGAAAGAGTGGGACGTGGAATATTAGTGTTTGTGCTGTACTTTTAAATAATAATACCTGTCTTCTCAGGCCTTAAATTCTGCTAAGGCTTTGGAGCCTTTCCCATTGTTAGGAATTAACCTGTGCCAAGTGCTTTTTCTGTGTGGCTCCCCTAACTTACTGTCAAGCCACAAGTATTAATATTTACATAAGCGACTTAATAACTTGATGTAAACTGTTTCATCGTAGGTGTCACATTTAGAGGGGACTTTATTTGACATCATATTGATTACTGTGACTTTTTTTTTTTTTTTTGGTATATGCTCCTAGTGGGAACCGAACCCGAGACTCTCTGGTCCGCAGGCCAGTGCTCCAACCGCTGAGCCAAACCGGCCAGGGCGATTACTGTGACTTTTTAAACCCTAGCTTCTTGTGTCGCTCTGAAAAAACAAAAACCATTACAGTGTGATCTGACTGAATAAGCCTTGATGTGTAGAACTGTGGACCAAATGTCTTTCAGAGGTGAAAATTAAAAGTGTTTGTTTTTTTTCTTTTCATAGGTTGACAAAGATGCTGAGTTGGTGGCCCAGTGGAACTATTGTGCTCTAAGTCAAGAAATATTAAGGCGACCAATAGTTGCCTGTGAACTTGGCAGGTATGATTCCTTAATCGGGATGAGTTTGTTTTTGTTTTTTTAATCCTCACCCGCAGATATTTTTACATTTATCTTCAGACAGAGTGGGAAGGGGGAGAGAGAGAGAAACATTGATGTGAGAGGGACACATTGACTGGTTGCCACCCTCATGACCCCAACTGGGGCCAAGGTCAAACAGCAACCGAGATACGTGCTCTTGGTTGGTATCGAACCCGGGACTCTTTGGTCTGCAGGCTGACGCTCTAACCGCTGAGCAAAACCGGCCAGGGTGGGATGAGTTTTTATTAAATGATTTTAAAAAGAATTTTAATGTGTAAATGCATTTCTTGATTGATCAAATATAAATTTTCACAAGCAAATTTGTGAAGCCTAGGTTAGCATTCCCTGTGAGCATAATTCTACACAACCTGTTCAGTTTGGTTTATTTAATCCATGGGTTGAAAACTCGGGATTGATAGGAGTTGAGTTATAAACATAAATGCATGAAGGAACCGTGTGGGGCATTAGGGAATGAACGATAGTGGGGGATGGGGGACTATGGAGTTCATGTCCTGTCTAAAGAGGCAGCTGCTACTCAGTTCCAGCCAGTTGTTAAAGTTCAAGAATGTAGGCCTAGTGATTCTAGGACGTCTGATTTTAATTTATCCAGGAAAAATTGAAACTGTACTCTTCTATCAAATTTTTCAGTTTTTGAAATCCTTGTGAAGGTCACATTCAGCCTACAGACTACCAGTTTACAGCCCTTGATTTTAGACTACTTTCTTTCTTTGTATACTCTGGAAGTAATTGAGAGAGGATTAAATTGACGTTTTTAATAAGGCTGGGCATTTCTGTTATCAAACATAAAGTGCCTTTGGACTGTACTCAATTGAGTCTTCGTCCTTTGTGTGAAGATAAATTGTTGCCGGAGTGTTTTGATTAATTTTTATTGTTGCAGACTTTATAACAAAGATGCTGTCATTGAGTTTCTCCTGGACAAATCTTCCGAAAAGGCTCTTGGGAAGGCAGCATCTCACATCAAAAGCATTAAGGTAAGACAGGTAACATGGAGGGACCTGGAGAGTATTATGCTAAGCGAAATAAGCCAGTCAGAGAAAGACAAGTGTCACATGATCTCACTTATTTATCGAATATAATGAACAAAATAAGCTGACAATCAAAATAGATCCAGAGACATAGAGAAGTAGGGAACAGACTGACAAACCTCAGAGGGAAGGCGATGGGGGGGAGGCAGGAACAGATAAACCATATAACTTACATGCATATATGCATAACCAGTGGACACAGAAAATAGTGTGGGGAAGGCAGGAAGGGGGTGGGAGCAGGGAGGAGGGGGTCAATGGGGGAAAAGGGGGGGACATCTGTAATACTTTCAACAATAAAGATTTTAAAAAGTAAGACAGGTGATTCTGAAGTGCTCTAAAGAGTCTCAGTGGTTAAACTTAATTTTATAGAATTCATGTATATTATAGACTGAATTTAGCTATTTAGAATTTCAGCCCCACCCAGCTAGCTAATAAAGGCATGATTTGGGCTGGTCACTTAAAGCTTAAGCCAGAATGTCCCACACCTGTATTTTCTGCATTAGAAATCTGTTATGATATATTATATGTGAAACAGCTTTGCAAACTCTCAATGTGCTGCATAAATGTCAGGACGCTTTATGTTTGTAGTTACAAGTTGGCTACTTGAACTTTCTATTTGGAAGACACTTCTATAGAATTAGAAAATTTTTTAGGTAGACCGCTGTTAAATCATTGTGGTATCTTATATGATAGTAATCTCTGGCTGATAGTCTGCCTTGAACTCGTTAGACCATAGCCTCGGATTTCACTGTCTCTCCGACTGTTAAATAAACATGGATGGTCAGTAATATGGTATAGCCTGAGCGAGGACTCATGAGCAGGGAGAGAAAGTGTCCTTTCTGGGTGAAATTATTATAAATTTCCTCTTAGTGCAGTACTTTTTCCTGTCAGAAGTTACTTTTCCTTAAATAGCAAAATATTTGTGAAATAGAAATTAACTTATTTGCTAGTTAGTGAATTTGAAAAATCATGTTTTCTGTCGCAGCTTATGGTTTAACCTTATATTCATGCTAATTGATGGCCACAGGAAAGTAGCTGCCAAGAGGAGGGTTGAATGGGCAGGGACTAGAGTAACAGTGTCCCTGTTGATTCAGGTGGTCGTTACGGCTGATCCAATGAATTCTTAAGATGTGGCTGGTTTTTCACAGAATGTGACCGAACTGAGGCTTTCCGACAACCCCGCCTGGGAAGGGGACAAAGGGAACACAAAAGGGGACAAGCACGATGACCTGCAGCGAGCGCGTTTCATCTGCCCCGTCGTGGGCTTGGAGATGAATGGCCGGCACAGGTCAGTGGTTGAATAAAACCGGTGCCCTTAGGGTCTGTGCTGGGGCCTGGGGATCGCGCAGACTCCTTTAGGTGGCCTCTGGTTTGGATAGTGCGCGCCCTGACCACCATTTGTCACGTGGCGCCCGAGGCCACGCACCTCTGTTGTCTGAGAGCAGGGGAACCTGGAGCGAAGAGGGAGTTCAGCAGCTCCTCACGCGATGCTTTGAGACGTGAGTCGGGCTGTCTGTCTCTTCCTGTGGGAAAGAGGCGAAGGGCAGATGTCCCCTATCAGACATCCCGTTTCCCTGTCACTCTGAAAACTACGCAGTGGGAACTTACAGAGCGTGAGGTAGGTCGCTCAGCTGGACGCCCAGCTGCTAATGACTTGAATCTGTAGCTAAAAACCCTCTGGTTAGAGCACCAGAAATCTTAAGGTTGAGATTTATATAGAAAATGTATGTTTCTCCTTTAAAAAATGGGAATGCTGAGTGAGTTAGTGTGTGTCTGTGTGTAGGAGGTCGCATAAGCCAAGCTCTGGACTCTTCCCCACCACTCCGAGGTCTGCCTTCGGTGGTCTGGGTGGGATCTTCCATCTGCGCTGATGTTAAAGGTGGTCATTTCCACTGTTTTCATTCAGGAAAAGGTGGCAGCACATCTCAGATAAGGGAAAACTTGTGCTGTATAAACAACCACATTTCATCTGGAGCTTTCGGGCACATTCGTATCTATTCATTTAACAGATGTATGTGCTGTGCGTGCAGCCTACGCCAGAGCATGACCCTGTCCTCTGAGGTGGAGTAACCTAAAGACTCTGTTTTTCAAGAAGTCTGACTTTAAATCGCTTCGGGCTCGCTCTCCAGCTTCAGCGCTTAGTGGTGGCTGCGAAGGGGAGGGGTCTGTTACTTAGCTGATTGTGCTGCTCACTTCACAGTGTGTATGTGGATCAGACCATCCGGTGGACACCTTAAATATACGCAATTCCCAGTCATCAATTACACCCAAATAAAGCTGGAAAATAATAAAGTAAAAACTAAAGTTCACCATGTGGGTCAAGCAGGAACTATTTTGGAACCAGACTCGTGTATCTAATCCCCCTCCCCTCGGCCCCTGGCAGCCAGCAGTCTGCTTCCTGTCTCAATGGTTTTACATATTCTGGATATTTTATATAAATAGAAGTGTACAGTATGTGACCTTCTGTGTCTGGCCTCTCACTTCTTTTTAAGAGAACCATAGTGCACCCCAAAGAGGAACTTGGCACAAACAGACTCAGCTCAGGGTCCTGAGCAGGGATTAGCTGGAGCCTGTCGCTCTGGTTGTGGCTTCCTCCAGTTTTTCCCTCTCCTTTGCTCTCCCCTCCTGTCCGTAGGGCCTTCACACTCGAAAATGGGTTTGTTTGAATATTTAGTAAAGTCTTGTGATAAAGATTTAACTATGTAGCCCTGGTCAGCTTGGCTCAGTGGTTTTTAGAGCGTTGGCCCGAGAAGCAAAGGCTCTCAAGTTTGATTCCAGTCAAGGTCATGTACCAGGTTTCAGGTTCGATGCTCGGAGTGGGAGGCAGCCAGTTGAATGTGCCTCTCTCTCACTGATGTCTCTCCCCCCCCCATTCCTCCATCTCCCTCCCCCTTCTCCCTTTCCTTCCCTCCACTCTCTCTAAAAATCAATGGAAAAATATCCTCAGGTAAGGATTAATTAAAAAAGAAAAGATTTAAATGTATAGAAATGAATTGGTATAATAAAAACATTGAGCATTTGTTTAGAAAAGCAAGTAATTTCCTAAATCACTAATAATTAGTGAGCATCCATAAAATAAGACATATATATTTTTTCATTTATTTTTGGTCCTAAACAAAAGAATCGTCAGCTCTCTGTTAGGGTGGTCTGCAGCCGCTGTGATCCCTAGGGGGCTGCGGGGCCTTCTGCTGGGGCGTTTGTAGGGGCACGTGTACAGCGAGATGGGAAAGTGCTCTCTGCCCGTCTCCCCCATTTCTCGCCTCCAGAGCAGCGTGGGTGTCACAGGCCCTGCAGACCCTCCCAGCACCAACGCACTGCGCTTCCCTACCCCCTGCAGACGGAAATGGGAACGTGTGACTTCCCACGGTCACGGAGTCATACTATACCTACACTGTAACTTCTTTTTTTTTTTCCTACTTCTCTAATTTGAACGTATTTCATGGCCTCACCTGGAGATTTACCTTATTATTTTTAGTAGCTGTCCGAGCGTTCTTAACCCAGCCACCCCCACCCACGGCCATTCGGGGGTAGCGTGCAGTCCGTGTGGACTTCACTTCGTAGATACCTGGAGAGCGATGCCTGCTGACACCGTCACGGTACCCATGTGCCGCATCGCAGCCCAGCCCACCAGCGCACGACTCGCTCAGACTCTTGCCCGAGGGCTCCTCCCCCTCCATTACTGCCTGAGAGAGAGATTCTGTCCTTGGTTCCGAAGGGCGTCTCTTTACCGGTCCAGTGTGAGCGTCTAGTACATGTGCCAGCCATTCACATTTCTGTGAGCCACGTGTCCGTGCCCTTGGCCCATTTTCTATTTCATTGTTACTGCTTTTTCGATACCTCTTTTAATATTTATAAGGTCTGAATTACATATATATTTAAAATACTTTTCCCTGTGTTCCTGTTCTTTTGACTTTTTGTTTGTAGTGGTTTTTTAAAATGTATTTATTTTTATTTATAGGAGAGACTTTATTCCAAAGGCTTATAGCAAGGGTGTGGGACTATGGCCTATGTGTGACGTTTTAATTTATTTGTATTTATATATATATAAATGAATGGAATCAGATGGAACCATTTTTCTTTGTGGTTCTTGGCCTTTGTGTAAACTGAACAAATGTTCATTGGTAATGTGGGTAGTGATTTTTAATTCTCATTGAAACCCTTCTCCATGTTGGATGGTCTCTCCAGGTTTTGCTTCCTGCGGTGCTGTGGATGCGTGTTTTCTGAGCGAGCCCTGAGAGAGATCAAAGCTGAAGTCTGTCACACAGTGAGTGTTGGCATGTGTCCGTGGTTCTTCCTCGGTGGTTAGGTGCTTCCCTCCATGTGCCATGTCAGCATCCTCCAGCCCTTTCTGAGACGTGGCTCTAACTCGTCGTGTCTCTGCTTACGCCCCCTCCACAGCTGCCACTGCTGGGCACAGACCCAGGCGGCCTCTGGGGACAGGGGCCTGCTGCCTGCAGCTCAGAGCTAGCTCGGGCCACTCCCTCGAGCCCGTCTGTCCTGTGCGTTTGCTCCCTCCACCCTGACCTGTGAGCCCGGAGGGGTCCTTCCCGGGAACCTTTGTCCAGAGTGATGGCTGTCCCCTGGGCACCTGTTATCCCACCGGCCTCGTCAGAACGTAGTCCGTAGCGACGCTGTGCTTTCCCCACTGGACCGTGAGGGTTTTTCTTTTCTTTTTTATTAATAGGACTATTTTTTTAGAGCAATATTAGGCTCAGTAAAGTTAAGAGGAAAGTAAGTGATTTCCCGCATTCCCTCCACCCCTCCCCCGCAGCATACCATTGATGATCCTACAGTGACATGTCGTCACCCCGGGTCCATCGGTGGTGTGCCTGCTGTGGTTTGGACAGGTGTGTAATGCCATGCGCCGTCCATCGTCACAGTGTCATACAGTGTTTGCACTGCCCTGAAGTCCTCTGCTGCTCCTGTGAGTGTGTAAGGGCTGCTGATCTCCAGGGCACGTTGCGTGTCCTAGTCAGCGCTCAGACGAGTGGGCACACGCTTGACGTGGGAGCCTGCTTGCTCAGCTCACACGAAAGAGACGCTGTTGACTTTGCTTGCACGTGTTGCTGCTATAACTGGGACATTTATGTGTCTGGTGTCCTGCTGGCCCGTGGCAAGCCCAGCATTTCGTTTAGTGTCGTGGATGCCAGCGGCTCTGGGCTGTGTCTTCACCTGTAGAACCCTGCTTGTGTCCCTCCTGTGGACCATTCTTTCCTTCGGCTTTCGTTGAACAGCCGGCAGAGGCCTGCCCTGTCCTCAGCACTGCTCTCTGGCTCTCACGGTGGGCAAGGCCGAGCCCCTGCCTGCCTGGAACCCACCATCCCGTTGGAGCGGTAGATGCTCAGATGACTGAGCAAGGCAGCGTCAGTGACCGACGCTAGGAAGGAAACACGGGGTGATGTCCCGCAGAGAGAGGGGCCACTTTAGTGGTGATCGGTAAAGGTACCCTTGCAGGTTTGAGCCAAGACTTCAAGAGTTCGGAGGAGACAGCCAAACAAAGTTTGAGCAAAAGCTCAGTTTAAGGAACAGAAAGTATAGTGGAGGGGGGTGCAGAGGAGAAGTAGATGAGATTGGAGGGTCAGGCAGGAGTCATTTCACAAAGGGCCCCGGCCACACTGGGGCGTGTGGGTTTTACTCTCAGAGCACTGGGGAGCCAGAAGGCAGCTTCACGATGTACCCGATGGCCATTCGTTTTCAAATGGCCCTGCTATAAAAGAAGCCAGACGTGGAGGAGGACACACTAGATGATTCCATTTATTTTGGATGCAAAAACCAGCAGAAGGTAATTGGAAGGAAGAGGTCAGTTTGGAGTGATTATGAATAAAGCCATCAGAGAGTTTCAAGTCTGTCCCATTAAGCTTTTACAAAAAAGAAGAAGTATAAAGAATGCATTCAGGAATTGATTCATACCATTTATTCACTAGTACTTACTATATCTCCTGTATTAAAGGTGAGGTACAGGTGTCCTAGAGAGATGAGGAAGTGTGACAGTCCTTGTGCTCACGGAGACGGAGGCCCTGCAGGAACATACGTTACCTGAGCAGTCATCTACCTGGTTAGAGGCCAGGTACCAAGTGGATGGGAACGAGGCCGTGGGCGTTTGAACTGAGCCGACGGACAGTGGCTCCATGAAGGAGGAGGTGTTCTGGCCTTGAAGGCAGGGCCTGCTTCTCAGCAGTCAGACTTGCCCAGAGATGGGGACGGGCTGTGCTGCTGGTGGGAAGAGGGCAGCTGGGTGGTCTGTGGGCAGACAGCAGACTGCAGGCCGCAGCACCTGGGCGCGGTAACTCCCGCTGTGGTGCCCCTTCAGCCCGGCTGCTGCCTCGAGGAGAAAGGCTCCGTTGAGTCCTAGCGAGCGTCAGCATCTCCGACCCGGCTGCTGGGAGAGGGCCTCGTGCCGGAGCTTGGGCAGGCGGGTCTAGTGAGACGGGTTGGTGTTCTCTGCTTTTTATGCTGCTTTTATTGCAAGGGGTACTGTTACTTATAATGTGAATATCAAGTTAATTTTTAAAGTAAATTTAAGTAGAAACAATGGATAGACTTAAAGAAAAATGCTAAGATAGTGATAGTACATCTGGCCAGGGAATGCCTGAAGTGTGAGACGATGATGCGAATGGTGCAGGTGCTGGGTGAGGTGTTGAGAGGAGGAGGAGGAGCAGCCGCCGCTTTCCGGAGGAAACAGCCCAGGCAGCCCAAGGACATGGGGGCACAGGCGCAGTAGTCACGGCAGGGGCCGGGATCAGGCCAGCGGCGTGAGTCGGGCTGGGTGGTGGAGACCTCGAGTGCCAGACCCAGGAGCAGGTCCAGGTGGGGATGCGGCAGTGAGCCCTTAAGGCAGGAGTTCGACAGTGAAAAGGAAGCCTGTGTGGAGGGAGCCCGGAGGGAGCCCGTGTGCCGACTGACACCGAGCAGGAAGGCTCCTGGACTCACTGGTCAGGCGTGTTAGCAGGCAGTGTGCGAGAGGTGTCCTTGTCACATGTGTTTCGAGTGACTCGGGAGGTCTGCCTGAAAATTGTAAATGGAAATTCAGCTGGTCTCTTACAGAAGCCAAGTGTCCCAAAGCAGTGGCTTCCAAGCCACAAAAGCTTGTTAACTGCTCAAACCCTACAACACAGTCTTCAGGGGGGGCTAGACCCCCCCAGACTTTCCTTTTGTTGAAGAGTTCCCGGAATGATTCTAATGGGCTGCCAGTTTGGGGAGCTCCGACCTGAAGCAATCAAACGTTTTTCCTTCTGCGGTAACGGTGACCATCTCTCGCATCAGTAGGCAGTTTTCCTTGGCATTGGCTGGTCCCACGCTGACAGCATCCATGAGAGCTGTCCAGAGAAGTCGACTATTTCCTGAAAGTGCAGGCTTACAAGGGGACTCGGAAACCATTGTGTTGGTGCTTGGGAAATGTTACGGAGAACATCAGTGACCTTGAAGTCCCGAACCGTGAGCACTTCAAGGGAAGGGAAGGAAGAGAGGAAAGGGGAACCGGCTGCGTCGGGGTTTGCACAAGGAGGACAGAGACCAAGCGAGGACCAGGAGGGGCCTCCACGGGCAAGACCGGATGCTGGCTGCCATTCAGGAGTGATTCAGGGAGGACATTGTCTTCAAAAGAAATCTGCCGGAAGAGCCGGGCAGTGGGCACTGTCCTGTGGTGTGAGCCGCATGAACGTTCCTCTGCTTAACCAGGTGGAGCTCTGGCCCGAGCGGGGAGTGAGGCACCGTGCCGGCCCCGCAGCCTGGCTGGCTTCGCGAGTGTGCCCTCTCCTGGAGGCTGCAGGCTGACACCCCGTGTCGGTGTCCCAGGGTGGTTCCCGCCGAGGGCTGTGAGGGAAGGCTCTGCTCCAGACCCCTGCCTGGCCAGTGGATGGCCGTCGGGTCCCTGTGTCTCCTCGTGCCTTCCTCTGTGGAGTCCGTCTCTGTATCCACAATGCCCCTTTGTTTGAGGACACCAGTCATACTGGAGTAGGGCCGGCCCAGTGACTGCACTTGAACAGGACATCTGCAGAAGCCTGATTCCCACAGGTCACCTTCCGATGCGCTGGCGGTTCGGACTCCAGCACTGGGCGGGTGGGGCACCGTTCAACCAAAGACACTATGCTGTTTGCACATTCACGGAGCCTGGGACAGCCGCTGGCACACTGGGGCAGGGGCCACCCATCCTTCCTCACGAAACCAGCAGAGCCCGGCTCACCTCGGGGCTCACGGCAGTGCTGGGACCGTCGCTTCACCTCTGGGCTTTATTCTAATACACAAGATGAAGGGATCGCAGTACGTTCTCGACGCTTTCTGTTTAGACCCAAATTCCAATGACATTTTTTTTTTTTTTTTTTTATCCTCACCCGAGGACATTTTTGCATTTTTTGTTCAGACAGAGTGGGAGGGAGAGAGAGGAAGAGAGAGAGAGAGAGAAACATCGATGTGAAAGATACACATCGAGTGGTTGCCACCCACATGACCAACCAGGGCCGGGGACAAACTGCAACCGAGGTACGTGCCCTTAGCGGGAACCGAACCCGGGTCTCTCTGTACCGCAGGCCGACACTCCAACCGCTGAGCCAAACCGGCCAGGGCCCAAACAATGACATTTTTAAATGAGGAAATTAAGTGACAAATTTGTATACTATTATCAGAAATCAAACTCAAGACTCATACTTTTTTTTTTTTTAATCTTCACCCAAGGACATTTTTGCATTTATCTTCAGATAGAGTGGGAGGAAGAGAGAGAGAAACATCGACTGGTTGCCACCTACAAGACCCAACCGGGGCCGGAGACAAACTGCAACCAATGTACATGCCCTTAGCGGGAACCGAACCCGGGACTCTCCTGTCTGCAGGCCGATGCTCTAACCGCTGAGCAAAACCGGCCAGGGCAAGGGCTCACTTCCGAACCAGAGTCTCTGAAGTTTATCAATACCTAGCATTGCACTCTGGGTTGGCTCACTCTGTGACAGCCGTGGGGGACACGGGGCAGGTTCTGGGTGGCCAGCTTGCTTCTGAGGGTCATGGAAGGACTCGGCCTCCTGCTGTGCTGTGGCGCTCGCCTCCTCTGGTTCTGGGCGTATCTCTGTCAGGTTGGCTGCTGGGGACACGGGAGCACGTAGCTTAGGAGTTGCTCGGCCACAGCACTCGGCATGTCTGCTCACGTTCATTGGCCAGAACTCAGGCAAGTGGTCACACCTAGCTGCGTGGGAGCCTTGGGAGTGGAGTCTGGCTGGGTGCCCGGGAAGAGGAGGCGAGACCAGCCATTCCTGCCAACTCTGCCAAAGGAAGGTGGGGGTGTGTTTCAGGAACTGTGCTGCGCTGTGGACCGTGTGAATGAAGTGAGCGCCCCCGTGTCAAAGTCTAAACGGTTTTTCATGTTCTAGGTGACGTCTGAGAGTTAGAGCAGCAGTGTCATAAGCAGGACGTCAGGAGCCTCGGTGGTGTTTAGGTGCAGTGTTTCTACTTTCCAGTCTGCAGCTCCCTCTGCGTTTGCTGCTGATTGAACCCAAAGCCTCCGGTGCGTGGAGGATGCCTGACTGAGCCACACCGGCCAGGGCACTATTTTTAATTCTTAGGGAGCCTCTAAGCACAATGCCCAGTACTAGTAGGCATCCAGTAGGTTTATTAAGGGAATGAAGGGCTTTCCAAATATTTGCACTTAGACTTTCCAAAGGCTCCCTTTGATGTGCTGCTTTCTGCAGTGGGAATAGAAGCAGCCAGGTCAGTTTGGGGACGGTGCTCTCCGCCAACCTCAGAGCCTTGAGATCAGACACCCTCCTGTGGTCCCCAAATGGAAGGCCTTGCAAAATAGAGAGCTGTTGACCAAGCCACAGAGCTGAAATAGGATCCTCGGTTGGGAACTAACTTCTGTGCTGCCTCCGAGCGGCACACAGCACCGCCGAACTGTTCTCGCTTCTCAGCTGGTGCAGAGTCACCAGTGAGGCCGCTCTGGACTGCGGATGTCTTTGGGCCACTGAAGCATGTCTTCTGCATGGGTGTCAGTCGGTACAAGCTTCCTCGTTAGTACATAGTAAGGCTTCCAAAATAAATTGTCACGTCACGGGGTGGCTCCTCTGAACCCTTTGTTTGGAGATGCGTAGACATTTCCTCCAGGGCGCGTGCAGGATGACTTGGCTTGTCTTGGATTATGTGTGCTGGTTGGATTACTCCAGGAGTGATATGCTTGTCATTCCCTTTCCTTCTGATGTAGTGCACGATTTCTCTGTTGGTTTTGATTGGAAAATCCTGTCCACGGGATTAATGACATACCTCCATTGAAATTTGGAATGGACTAGGACTTTCATAGGTCATTTCTGCCTGTAGCCAGGAGAAGCCACCTTCTCTCTCTTGGATCATATGAAAATATTTCAGAACAGTTCACCAGGGTTTGCACAGCAGCCTTGTACTTCTCTGGGGCCTTTTGTTTTGTTTTTTATCCTCACCAGAGGACATTTTTCCATTCTTTTGTTCAGATAGAGTGGGAGGGAGAGAGAGAGAGAGAAACATCGACGTGAAAGGGACACATCGAGTGGCTGCCACCCGCACGACCAACCAGGGCCGGGGACAAACTGCAACCGAGGTACGTGCCCTTAGCGGGAACCGAACCCGTGTCTCTGGACCGCAGGCTGACGCTCTAACCGCTGAGCCAAACCGGCCAGGGCTCTGGGGCCTTTTCATCAGTGCGAATACAGTGAACAGTTTGAGGTACATAAATGGCTCTGTGCTGTCAGAGATTCTCAGCCTTGTCCTCTGGGAGTGTGTTATGATCTGTTTCACCATTTCCCCCATTCTTTGGACATCGAAGTTACGAGTGATGAAAGGAAGCAGAATGCAGCATGAGCAGGAGGTTTCAGCTGCGCAGGAAGCATGCACGTAAAAGGCTGTGTCTGCAGGAAGCCAGGGGTCTGTCACTGCCGGCGGCCGCCCTCCCTTCCTCACAGCCCCCGCCCCTCAGCCCGCGGCGGGCTCGGGACAGAAACCCGCTGCCTGCCTGGTCCCCCTGGCCTCCGGGGATGGACCACTCCAGCCAGGTTCCTGGGCTCAGGCTCCAGTGGCAGGGCGGGTCCTGTGCCGGTCTCCAGGGGGCAGCCCTGCCCAGGTGTGGGCAGTCGAGGCCTCCAGGGTGTGGGTCTGGTGTTAATGGATCTTTTGAATTTTGGAAAGAAGGAGCAAGATATTCAACTTTGAACGAGAGAGGGTTCTGGCTGTTGGTGGCGGTTAATCCGACTTACAGATGCAGCTCTGGGCACAGCAGTGCAGAGCAGGGTCTGCAGGCCCAGCTGGACAACCAGACGTGAGAGGGAAGGATGTGTCGAGGCCCGAAGGGAGGGGCAGCAGGCAGAGCAGGGAGGAAGCCACAGGAAACCTGGTGTGGCCCAGGAGGGAGAGTGCGGGGCTGACGGAACCAGTGGCCTGAAGGTGGCCCCTTCCTGCCCTGGCTGTGTGCTCAGGAGGCGTTGACACCACCACGCCAGCCCCACGGGCCTGCTCTGCCCCGACTTCCCGCAGGTCCCTTTCCTTCCCTCTCCAAGGAGGACTCCCCCAGGGAGGGCTCTGCCCCGGGCTCCAGTGTGGGGCGTCCCAGGGGACCTCTTCCCGCAGGCCCCCCGCGTGATGGGGAAAAGAGCCCTTGTCTTCAGAGGCCTTCCTGGCTGGACCCGTATTGGGCAGCCCGTCGTTGTCCTTACACCTTCTCTGTAGCTCCGACCTCAGGATTTGTGGGTCAAAGGAAGGTCCCTTCAGTCATGAGAATGTATCATACTCACCCTAGGAACAGCTGACCCACAGTAATGGGTTTTGGGGACAGAACCGCAGTAAACGACGTAGCTAAGGCTGCGGACTCGGAAGCTGGCTAAGCCAAGATGCAGGCGGAGGGCAGTGGGAACTTCCCAGGAGCCCCAGGGGCTGTGGCTGGGCTGAGAGTGAGGCTGGAGCCCCGCCTGCTGACAGCGCCTGTCTCTCCCGCTCTCTCCAGTGCGGGGCTGCCTTCCAGGAGGACGACGTCATCGTGCTCAATGGCACCAAGGAGGACGTGGAGACGCTGAAGGGCAGGATGGAGGAGAGAAGGCTGAGAGCACGGCTGGGGAAGGTAACAGTCCTGTGTGCGTCCCTCACCTGCCGCGTCTCGGGCTCGGGCTGAAGCCTTGGGTTCCGCCTGCGTCTCCTCTGCTCCAGTGCCCGTCGCAGACCCTGCCCTGCGCTGCTGGCGGCCGCTTCGCCTTTGCAGAGACGGAGTCGCTGCTTACGACCTGGAGGGGCCCGGGTGCTGGGGAGACTCCAGTCCCGGCTCGGCCACACCCTCGCAGGGTGGGCACAGCCACTTCTCCAGGGGCTGCACCTGCACAGGATGGGGGGGGGGGTGTAGCTGCTTCTCCAGGGACTGCACCTGCACAGGATGGGGGGGGGGGTGTGGCTGCTTCTCCAGGGACTGCACCTGCACAGGATGGGGGGGGGGTGTAGCTGCTTCTCCAGGGACTGCACCTGCACAGGATGGGGGGGGGGTGTAGCTGCTTCTCCAGGGACTGCACCTGCACAGGATGGGGGGGGGTGTAGCTGCTTCTCCAGGGACTGCACCTGCACAGGATGGGGGGGTGTAGCTGCTTCTCCAGGGACTGCACCTGCACAGGACGGGGCAGGAGTGGTATAGCAGGACCTGTCTGGGACAGCCGTTGGGGGGCAGAGTGCAGTCGGGGGAGCCAGCACGATCCTGCGCGCTCTCTGATTTTATGTATATATATATTTTATCCTCACTCGAGGACATTTTCCCATTTTTTGTTCAGATAGAGTGGGAAGGAGGGAGAGAGAGAGAGAGACACATCAACTGGCTGCCACCCGCACCACCCAACCAGGTCCCGGGACAAACCAACTGAGGTACATGCCTTTAGTGGGAACTGAACCCGGGTCTCTCTGGACTGCTGACGCTGTAACCGCTGAGCCAAACCGGCCAGGGCCTCTCACTGATTTTAAAAGAGTAGCTGATGCCCTGGGTGGTTTTGCTCAGCGGTTAGAGCATTGGCCCGAAGACCGATGAGTCACGGGTTCGATTCTGGTCAAGGGTACGTACCTCGGTTGCGGTTCATCCCTGGCCCTGGTCGGGTTGTGCAGGAGGCAGCCAGTTGATGTGGCTCTATCACGTCGATGTTTCTCTCTGTCTCTCCCTCTCCCTCTCATTCTATCTGATAATAAGTAGAAAAATATCCTCAGGTGGGGAATAAAAAAAAGAGAGCAGTGGGTCCTCTGTGTCCACAGATTTATCATCAGCAGATTCAAACGACCTCGGATTGAAAATATTCAGGGGAGCCCAGCCAGTGTGGCTCAGTGGATTGAGCCTTGTCCTGTGGACTGAGAGGTCCCGGTTCAGTCCCTGGTTAGGTCACATGCCCGGGTCATGGGCTCGTGCAGGAGGCAGCCTCTCGATGTTTCTCACCTTGATGTTTCTATCTCCCCCTCTCTTTCTCTCTAAAAAAAGTCAATAAAAACATATTAAAATATTCATTCAGGGTGGGGAGGGAGGGGGACGGGGGAATCAGTGGGGAAAAAAGGAGAAACATCTGTAACAAAAATTAATTTAAAAGAAAAAAGAAAGGTGTCAGGTTCCCACTAAAGAAGCAATAAACAATGCTCTCAAAAACTAAAAAAACTTCGGGGGGGAGGATCTCAGAAAGTTTTAAAAAGCAAAACTTAGATTTGCCGCGTTCTGATTTGCACTCGCCCTGCTGCAGCCTCTGCAAACGGAGGCTGCGCGCCGATGCCTCTCCGTGCAAACGGAGGCTGCGCGCCGATGCCTCTCCGTGCAAACGGAGGCTGCGCGCCGATGCCTCTCCGTGCAAACGGAGGCTGCGCGCCGATGCCTCTCCGTGCAAACGGAGGCTGCGCGCCGATGCCTCTCCGTGCAAACGGAGGCTGCGCGCCGATGCTTCTCCGTGCAAACGGAGGCTGCGCGCCGATGCTTCTCCGCTAAGGCGCGTTGCCACATGACAGCTTGGGCATTCGGGAATGGCAGCGTTCTCACTTTTTCTTTTTAAACACTTTATGTAATAAGAACTAAGGCAAAAGAATGCTTGGAGTGTTTAATATTAGTTTCAGTATTCTGAGGTCATCAGACAGGGGAGATGTGGCCTGTGTTTACCAGTGATACAGTGATTAAAGTTTTCCGAGTTTCTTTTTTTTAATCATAATAGAGAAAAGGGCAGGGCCGCATCCCCCGGCAGTAATATGTGCTCGTGGTCATGAGGCCTCCCGGGAGTGGGAGGGATGCAGCTGAGCTGTGACGGAGGTCAGGGTTCCCACACAGCTGGCACTGCAGGCGCCCCGGGCCAGTGGGAGGGGTGCAGCTGAGCTGTGACGGAGGTCAGGGTTCCCACACAGCTGGCCACTGCAGGCGCCCCGGGCCGGTGGGAGGGGTGCAGCTGAGCTGTGACGGAGGTCAGGGTTCTCACACAGCTGGCACTGCAGGCGCCCCGGGCCGGTGGGAGGGGTGCAGCTGAGCTGTGACGGAGGTCAGGGTTCTCACACAGCTGGCACTGCAGGCGCCCCGGGCCGGTGGGAGGGGTGCAGCTGAGCTGTGACGGAGGTCAGGGTTCTCACACAGCTGGCACTGCAGGCGCCCCGGGCGGGTGGGAGGGGTGCAGCTGAGCTGTGACGGAGGTCAGGGTTCTCACACAGCTGGCACTGCAGGCGCCCCGGGCCGGTGGGAGGGGTGCAGCTGAGCTGTGACGGAGATCAGGGTTCTCACACAGCTGGCACTGCAGGCGCCCCGGGCCGGTGGGAGGGGTGCAGCTGAGCTGTGACGGAGGTCAGGGTTCTCACACAGCTGGCACTGCAGGCGCCCCGGGCCGGTGGGAGGGGTGCAGCTGAGCTGTGACGGAGGTCAGGGTTCCCACACAGCTGGCACTTGCAGGCGCCCCGGGCGGGTGGGAGGGGTGCAGCTGAGCTGTGACGGAGGTCAGGGTTCTCACACAGCTGGCACTGCAGGCGCCCCCTGCATGTTTTCACTTAGGAAGGAGGTAAACGGTGCGTGTACATGGCTCTGTGGTACACAGAACTGCCCAGGCTTTTTCCTCAGATTTAATAGTATTCTGGGAAGCATGCTTACAGTTGTTAATACAACAGTCGTGAGAACTATCTGAAGGGTTGAGTGCACGTTTAAAACAAATCTATATGTGTGCGTTCATTCTAAGTTGACTTTTAAATCGCTGTGATTTCATTTCCATTGAGAAAAATAAAGAAAAACGCTTGAGATATTTTTGACAAAGGAAAGTCACTGAAAAGGATCTGCCTATTCTTCATTGATCAAGCTCCATTTTTATTTTTTTTAATAATGTTTTTTTGATTTTAGAGAGAAGAAAGGATAGGGAGAGAGATGGAAACATCGATTAGAGAGAACATTAATTGGCCGCCTCCTGCACGCCCCCCACTGGGGATCAGGCCCACAACCTGGGCATGTGCCCTGATCAGGAATCGAACTGGCCACCTCTTGGTGCATGGGTCAGTGCTCAGGCACTGAGCCACACCAACCAGATCAAGCTCCGTTTTTGAAAAGCACAAAAGGGGCCCTGGCCGGTTTGCTCAGCGGTCAGAGCGTTGGCCTGTGGTCCAGAGAGACCCGGGTTCGGTTCCTGCTAAGGGCACGTACCTTGGTTACAGTTTGTCCCCGCCTCCAATTGGGATTGTGTGGGTGGCAACCAGTCGATGCCTCTCAAATCGATGTTTCTCTCTCTTCCTCCCTTTCTCCCTTCCCCCTGTATCTGAAGATAAATGCAAAAAAATGTCCTTGGGTGAGGATAAAAAATAAATTGAAGCAATAAAAGCACAAAAGGGAAAAACTGTCCTCCAGTGGAAGCTGTTGGAGGTGTCCACAGAGCCCTCCGCATTTGGCTTGAGTGAGGCGTCTTCTGTCTGTCCGAGGCTTCCCGCCGAGTTGCTCATAGCCCGGGACCCCCAGGCCGCCCTCTGCAAGGTGCGCGCTGGAGTCCTGGGGGTGCCCCTGAGACCCCGCTGCCAGACACCACGTGCTTCCCACCAACACTGGCCGCTGGAAGCAGGACGAGGCGCCTCCTCCTGACCCTCACTGCCGTGCTTCTCAGAGAAGCTCCGCAGCCCCGAGGGCCTGGGACGCACATTGTCTCTCTTGTTTTTAAGGATGAAGTATTATGTCTTCAGGTTTGAATGTGTGACTTGAACAGAGGTTTCTGTGTCTTACACAGCTGTGTATTGTCAGTCAGTCCACGGCTGCTGCCAGAGCCAGGTCTCCCCACATTGCCTGGGGGGGGGCCTTCTGCGGGGACCAGGCCGTGTGCCTGGTGGGGGGGCCTTCTGCGGGGACCAGGCCGTGTGCCTGGTGGGGGGGCCTTCTGCGGGGACCAGGCCGTGTGCCTGGTGGGGAGGCCTTCTGCGGGGACCAGGCCGTGTGCCTGGTGGGGGGGCCTTCTGCGGGGACCAGGCCGTGTGCCTGGTGGGGGGGCCTTCTGCGGGGACGAGCCGTGTGCCTGGTGGGGGGGCCTTCTGCGGGGACCAGGCCGTGTGCCTGGTGCCGTCTTTTGGCTGCTTAGGAAAAGGGCACTTTCAGAGCAGTTCTGCTTGAACCAAGGCCAGCTTGGCTCTGCGGTTCTAGAGGGTTAGTTTCATTTTTAAAGTTAGAATGGCAGCCCGGCCGGTGTGGCTCAGTGGTTGAGCGTCGACCCTGCACCAAGAGTTCACCTTTCAGTTCCCGGTCAGGGCACATGCCCAGGTTGTGGGCCCGATCCCCAGTGGGGGGCGTGCAGGAGGCGGCCAGTCGATGTTCTCTGTCACCGATGTCTCTCTCTCTTCCTCTCTCTAAAGCCAATACGGGGCGGGGGGGTCCATTTAAAAAAAATAAAAAGTAAAGTTAGAGTGGCAGAATGCCGGTGCCTCAGCATCTGGCATGAGTAACCAGAGGGTGGGGAGTTGGCTCCGTGTCCTCGGCACAGGCCCCCCAGTTCAACGTCGAGGCCGGAGCAGCTTCGGGCACGTGCTGCCCGGGCGCCCGTCCTGCCGCGGTCGCCTCTGCCGCTGACTCTCACCGTCAAAGTCGCATCTTCATGAGCATTCCTGAGGCTGTGGTCTCTGGAGCATGGAACTTGAGCAGGTCCCCACAGAGATGCTGTGGGAGGCAAAGTCCGCCAGTGGGAACAGCGCCGAGGGCCCGGGTGTGGAGTGCACGGCCACTGAGGCCTCAGAACGCGCCCGCCCTGCGTGGACGGCTCGGGCCTGGCGTTAGGCCGCTGCCCAGCTCCCTCCTCTTCCTACAGAAAACCAAGAAGCCCAAGGCGGCGGAGTCTGTCTCCAAGCTGGACGTCGGGGAAGGTAAGCTGTCGCTGGGGCAGGGCCGGCTGCACGCTGTGCTGAGCGGGGCCCCACCTCGGCGTGCTGCCCCCACAGAGCCCGCAGGGCCGTCCAGAGCCCAGGAGAAGCCGGAAGAGCCCAGCCCCGACCCCGACGCCGGGGAGAAGAAAACCCACCCGGCCCCCAGAGGTGCAGGTGGGTCCACGGAGCCCCTCGGGGGAGACAGGTGGTTCCCACGCGGTGTGACCGGCTCGTCCCGAGTCGTGTGTCTCAGTGTCGTTCGCCGAGCTCCCTTGGGGACAAGGAGTAGCTGGTGTCCCAGAGCAGGAGCGGGCGGGTGCTGCGTTTCCTCGCCGGGAGCTCGTGCGTGGGGCCGGGCTGCGGGGACGGGCCGTGCCCCTGTGGGCACGGGCGGAGGGCGAGGCTCAGAGCCATCCGCATACAGTCCAGAACCTTCCACTTCTGACGACAAAGGCTGTTTCACAAAAAGAGAAGCACAGGTTCTTGAGGTTCGAGAACGTGTGACCTGCGCTGTGAGCAGCAGCCGCGGCGGCTCCGCTCCACGTGGTGGCCGCCCGGCCGAGTGCATGTCGCTCAGCCTTCCGGTGCCTCCTGTCTCCCCGTGGACAGGCCAGCGCAGCCTCTGCAGAGGGTCTGGCTCGCGGTGGTCACGGGCTGGGGCTGAGCCATTGCGGGCGGCTACGTTCGTGTGACCTGTCGTCGCTCCATCTGTCTCTAGGAGTGGGCGACAGGTGGTGAATTCCAGCCTCGTCCCGAGAGGAGGAGGGAGACTCCTGGGAGTGGCCGACGGGCTCCTCCCTTCGGGAGCGGGCCTTTGGGATGAGCGTTAGTCTCGGCAGTGACGCGTCTGCCTTTTCTGTTTCCCTGCAGCGAACGGGAGCTCGGCTGGGAAGGTCGGGAAGCCTCCCTGTGGAGCCACGAAGCGGCCCATTGCCGCCAGCGAGGAGTCCGAAGCCTACAAGTCCCTTTTCACGTCCCACAGCTCTGCCAAGCGCTCCAAGGAGGAGTCGGCCCACTGGGTCACCCACACGTCCTACTGCTTCTGAGCCCAGGCGGCGCCCACACGGCGGCTCACGACCCGGGCAGGTGGTGTGGGCGCCGGCCTGCCGGGCTGCTGCGTGCTCGGCCGTCCTCCCGCCCTCGGCGCCGGCGCGGGGTCCTGCAGCGGCGTGCTGGGCCCTGCCACCGTCCCGGCTCCGCGCCCACATCGGGAGGGTTTGGCCAGCAGTTACTGAAGTAGAAGGGATGAGTTCGGAGGTCATCTGGGAGCCCCTGGGAGGCCAGCACTTGGGATCTAGTACTTGGGGCGAGGGGTTCCTCCGTGTATCACTTTGAAGATAGAAGAGATTGAGTTCGGCACCTGGCGCTTGATACAAAAATAAAGCAAGTCTGCCTTTCCTCTCACCTCATTCGTGTTCTTCCGCACCCCTGGCGTCTGTGGGGACGGGGCGACGGGTCACTGCCTTTGAATGTGCGCGAGATTTCCCGTTTGGAAAAGACACAGGGACAGAATCCCCTGAGCGCTTCTGTGGCGCTCACTCATCACACCACAGCCACCAGAGGGGGTGCACACCGACCCGGGGCACCCCGGCCCCCGGAGCGGCGCCCCGAAGCTGTGTGAGCAGGGATGAGCCCGAGGGGCACGGGCCCAGCACGCCCTTCACCCACGTGCTGGCCGCTGCTGCCGGACCCCGCGGCTTGTTCTAGCTGCCCAGAGAGCTCCAGGAAGGCCCCCCGGACAGCACACGGCCCACAGGGGCCCTCTGCACAGATCAGGCCCCCCCCCCCCGCTGCAAACAGCCTCAGCTTCGCCCCTGCCCGGGGCACCGCAGCTTGAAGGTGCCCAGTGGACCCTCGGTTACAGCCAGCAGAGCGCTTCGCCCTAGGGGTGGTCTGGGTCAGACGGCCAGGGACAAGGACAAGCTTGGAGTTCCACTGACGGATCTCTCGCTTCACGTCATTCTTACAAGCCGAGCCAAGCACGCCAGCCCCAGAGCCTAGTCACTGTCCTCGCCTGCCACACAGGCTGTGTCCTCCCCTCGGGGTCTGGACCAGTGTCGTGTCGGCTCCCTCCTGGTCGCCCCTCGGACTACCCAAACGTCTCAGGACAGCCTTCCTGCACACCCGCACCCCTGGCCCCCAGTCCCCGGGGTCGCACACTCCTGTCACTGGTGAGCGAGGCAGGAGGGCCTGGTGGGGACTGGGGAGAACGTGACCACCTGGAGCAGCAGTTCCTATTGGGACCAGTGTCTCCAGGTCGTCTATTTATATATATTTTTAATCCTCACCCGAGGATTTGTTTTTGTTCATTTTAAAGAGAGGAAGGAGGAGAGGGAAAGGAGGAATATCGATAGGAAAGAAAAACATCAGTTGGTTGCCTCCCACACACACCCCGACCGGGGATCGAACTCACAGCCTAGGTGTGTGCCCTGATGAACTGAGCCCGCAACCCCCCTGGTATACGGGATGACGTGCCAACCGACTGAGCCACCCAGCCTGCGCAGGTCTTCCATGTTTTCAAAAGACACCAGAAATCCAGGTTTTTTAAGTAAAATCCCCCCAACACTTAAATTTGCCAACGATGGTTCCTAGAAACAACGTGTGCTAAACGGTACACGTCGGTGGCTCCTGATGCGTAGCGTCCGGTTAATACCCTCCCTGGGCTCTGCGCCGGGGCCCGCGCCGGGTGTTCCACACGATGTCTGGTTTCAACATACGAAAAGCAGACGCAGGCCTCGGCCGGCAGAGCACCGGGGGGTCAGGAAGACGAGAAGGAGGAGGCCCTCCATCATCCCATCCTCTCTTTTATTTTCTGCTGGAAATGTCTCCGTCTCCCTTTAAGTCCTCCTCCTGCACCAGGGCGGCCTCATGCCCTCCGCCCGGCGTCATCACAATGGCCGGAGCTGCTCCTGGCTGGGGCCTCTGTGACATCAACCACGGCTCAGCCCTAGACACCCAGTCTCCAGGCTGGAGGGCAAACAGACTCACCATGAGCAACTCCCTCCCGCATCTCTGCTCACCATGCGGACGCTGAAATGGTTCCTGTTCCTGCCGCTGTGCCTGTCGTGCGGCGACGCCTTCATGTTCTCCTCGCCCAGGGAGCCCGTCAAAGAGCCGCCGGGCAAGGCGCCTTGCGGCGGGCACTTTCGGATTAGGCAGAGCTCGCCGGAGCACGCCCAGGGCTGGCTTGCAAGCAAATGGCTCTGGTTCTTCTTTGTTGTCGTGCTGTACATGGTCCTGAAGTTTCGGGGAGGTGGTGAGAAGAGCAAGGTAAGGGCTCCCTCCGTCCAGGCGCCGCACCCCCGCTCCCTGGGAACCCCCGCTCCCTGGGGACCCCGGCCTCGGACGCGGGCTTCGCTGTGACAGGCAGGGCGGTCACGTGGAAGGGATTTTCATGCCAAGTGGCTACCTCCAGTCCCGGGAAACCATGGCAGATTCCTTTCCCACGGAGCCTTAGGGAAGACAGTCGTCCCCACACCACGGGGGGGCTAGCAGCTGAGGACCACCTTCTGTTTACTGGGGGACGGGAACCTCGGCTCGATGTTTAGCCCGTTGGATGCATTTTTTCACCTTGAGGAGAGATTCAAGAACTTGGTCTGTTTCGGGTCAAAATGATTCACAGTGCCAGAGTCGCTGCCCCAAGTGTCATGCCCCTAGCGTCTGACTTATGACAAGTGGCTGAGCCGAATGCAGAGGTCACCTTCTTCCAAGTAGAGGTCATAAAGGGGAGAGGTGTGAAAGGTAACAGCCCCCTCCTGCAGCAGCTGAACAACTCCCAGCAGGAAAGACACACACATGGCAGCTTGTTCTCTGCTAGACAGACCCCACGTTTCCCGAGACCGTGTCCCAGCTGACCAGAGCAGGGTTAGCAGGCCCGTTCTGCAGAGGCCCAGATAGCAGATACTTTCAGCTTTGCAAGGACTCGACTCTGCCACCTTAGTCTGAAAGCAGCCCGAGACGTTATGTGCGTGAATGGGCAGGGCTGCGTTCCAATAAAACTTTATTTACAGAAACAAGTGGTGGGCCACATTGGGCCCTTGGGCTACCGTTAGCCAATCCCCGGCCTAGAGCAACGCTAGAACCACCTTGTCTTAGGTGAGCCCAACACCCTTGGAGCTGTGCCAAGACCCGCCGCACCGGCGGTGTCATTCACCCCACGTATGTTTGTTGACAGGAAAAGAGTCCCCCTGGCCTTCGAGGCTGTTCGCTGCGTGCTCCAGTCAAGAAAAACCAGGGTGCTTCCCCCAGCAAAGACTACGCCTTCAACACCTTGAACCAGCTCGAGATGGACCTTGTGCAGTTTGTGTCCAAGGTGCGGAACCTCAAAGTCGCCGTGGCAACCGGCAGCAACCACAAGGCTCCGAGCCCGGAGATGTCCGGGGACCCCCAGAACAATGTGACGATCTACGAGATATGGGGCGAAGAGGACTACGAGTGAACGGCCCTGTGCCACAGTCGGACAGAAAAAGTCACGTTGACAGATCGTATGCAAACTAATAAAACTATTCTGAAGAAAAGTCTCGAATGTGAGCTCCCACCCCTCCCCCGCTGTTCAACTTGAAAACCGGAAATGTACGACCGGGGACCGCGGCCGTCTAGGTTGTGCGGTCCCTTCTCCCTTCCTCTAGAGCTGTGGGGGCGAGGTCACAGGACCCGGCAGGACGAGGGTCAGGGAATTTGGGATAAGATGTTAATGTCATTTTCAAACCTGCTGTCTATGTCAGCTGTCGATGCAAAGGGTGGGGCTGGTTATCTGTACGATTTATGACACTACACAGGATAACTTTGATGACAGGTTTAAAACGACGAAACGATGGGGTTGGGAGGGCTGTGTGTGGGTGGCTGTGTGTGGGTGAGGGGCGTGGTGGACTCTAGAACCGCTTGATGTTCTCACCAGCAGAAAAGTCCTGTTCAGCGCAGCACACGGTGCCCTCGCCGGCTTCCCCACCCGCGGTGACATCTGGTTGGGTTAAGAAACATGGAGCATCTATCCCTCCTTTCAGGGTTATCTGGGTACAGAGGGCTATCCAGGCCGCCCTCAACTGACGTAAAAGTTCTTTATAATAAAGACATAGATGGTTCGGCACTTGATGTGGCTCACAGAAACCGCACCGTGGGGGCTAAGTGGCTCACTCGGACCTCTCATCCAGGCGCCGGGAGTTCTACAGACGCGCCGTGGGCTGGGGAGAGGCGGCCGCGGGGCGCCCTAGAGGTTCCCTTGTTCCCACGTCAGTCCTGGTTAGTGGTTAGTGTGCGCCTGCCTTCCTCCCAGCTACGGAAAGTGCGCTCCGCCCTGGCCGGACTGGCTTCGTGGGCAGCATCCTAGGCCCCGAAAGTCACAGTTTGAGTCCCCGTCAGGGCACATGCCCAGGTTCCGGGGTTCAGTTCCTGGTCCAGGTGCGTATGGGAGGCAGCTAATGGATGATGTTTCTGTCTCACATCGGTGTCTCTCTCTCCCTCCCCCTTCCCCTCTCTCTGAAAATAACTTTTGTTTTTTTAAAGTTCATCCCCACCCTGGCCGGTTTGGCTCAGGCGCTAGAGCATCAGCCCACGGACCAGAGGGTCTCAGGTTCGATTTCCTGCCAAGGGCACATGCCTGGGTTGCGTGTTTGACCCCTGGCCCCAGTCGGGGTCATGCGGGAGGCAACAATCCATGTGTCTCTCTCACATTGATGTTTCTCTCTCCCACCCTCCTTCCCTCCTTCCCTTCCCCCCCCCCCAAAACCAATGGGAAAATGTCTTGGGCCGAGGATTAACAATGACGACGAAGCCCATTCCCTTTGAGCAGTGTCCTTGGCCTCTGTCCCCCGTGAGTGTAGGAGGCCATGCCACTCATCTTTGAAAAGTGGTCCCTGAACACCTAACTTGCTGTCTTCACTTCGACTTACAGGATGGGGGGGAACAGAAGGAGCCGAGATCTCTTCCGGTCCTGACTGTTTCCGAGCGCATAGGACTCAGCTATCTTCACAGAACACTCCGAAGAAACTCAGATAAGCAAAAAGCATTTGGTTTGAAGCGGTGACGTTGACATGGGGCAGATTTTAGGTTACAGTGGAGACCATGGAACAGCAGTGGTCACCAAACCATGGCCCCTGGGCCCAGCCCGGCCGGCGGCTTTCATAAGGCCCGGGCGCTAAGAAGGGCTTTATATTTTTAAATGTTTGGGGGAAATATCAGAGAATGAATCATAGTTCAGCACCTGAGATTCAGAGCTGAATATTCATCAATACTCCTGGCGCACGGCCCTTCCCGCCATTCGCACGCCTGTGGCTGCTTTGGGCCCAGCTGAACCAGCGCACAGAAATCCTCTGACCCAGAAGCTGAAAATACTCACCGACCAGCCCTCTGCGGGAAAAGCCCGCCCACCTGGCAGGTGGGCATCCCAGGCGGGGCGCTGCCCACAGGAAATGCACTCAGCTCAGCTCCTCACAAACATCCCGTATTCGTCGAAGAGGAAAAAATGTAATGTCCTAAACCATATTTTTTTTAATAAATGATATTTGTTGCAGTTCTGTCCAGGTCACCGGCAACCAGAGAGCAGAACCCCACAGTTCTTCCCAGCGAGCTGCCAGGGTGCCCACTGGGACAACACCGGCGGCGTATCTGGGTTTAGCCGTTCCCATCAGAGTGTCCCTCGCGAATAGCAGGTCTGCAGCACCTCTGCCTGGAGGACCCTGCCTCCTCCAGCCGTCGATGCCATGGGAGGTTTTCATGCAAAAATGCCTGAGAGATGTAAGAGCTGGAGCTCCACAGAGCTCCTCGCTCCTGCCGTTAGAGCAGGACCCAAATGCCGACTAACGTCCCCGCTGTCCTCGGTCCCAGCCGGGCCGCTGCAGTCACCGAGGAGGCTCAAGCAGGCGGTCGGCAGAATTCCCGTCCTCTTGGCTTAGGGGTCACGGGCGCTCTGCTCCTCCAAAGCCAGCAAGGAGCTGAAGACTCTAGAGCGAGTCGGCCCACGGAGTCTCACGTATGTAAGGGAATCGCGGGACCGACCGTGAGGTGACACAGCAAACCAAGAGTTCCTGCAGCACGCAGACAGACGGTGTGAGGCAGGCTGCGCTGGACTTCAGCCTCTGCACTTCCCGCAGGGTTCAGGCCCCGCCCCTCGCCCCCAGACCCTGTGGGTCCCGCCGCCTCCTCGCTCTGTCCTGCCTCCTCCCAGCTGCATCACACGAGCCCATCTCTGCCTCAGGGCCTTTGCACATGGCCTCTCCCTGGATAAGTAAGTCTTCTTCCAGATGTCACACTGCTGGACGCCATGCTGTCCCTTCTGGTCTTTGCTCAGAGGTCACCTCCTCAGAGAAGCCTTCCCTGACCACCCTCCCCTGCTGGCCTTGTTTTATTCCCCTGACAGCACCAGCGCTGGGTGACGTTATGCTTTCATTGGCCTGCGTCCTGTTTCGAACCCAGGACACATGTACTAAGGAGATGACAGCGCTCACAGCAGCTCCTGGCCGTCAGCCTCGCAGCACATGGCCGAGAGCCGTCTGCGAGAGCTCCTTCCGGGGCTCCCTTCGCCCACCCCTCACTGCGGTCAGCAGGCCCATGGTCGCGTGAGCCCGTCTGTTCCGATTCCACTTCGGGCTTCCCGGCAGCCGGGCTGGTCTACGTGTCGGGTTATTCTGTGCGCACGCGGAGGTATGTGTAGTAGCACAATGGTTCTGAGGCAGAGATTCCCAGAAAGACACCCCCAGAGAACTCTCATCCCTGCTGCGGGGTCCCCCCACCTCTGTTCCGCAGCAGGGAACCAGCCCCACACTTGTTTCCTCCTCTCCGGATTTCTTTGCACAGATGAACAGGTGCGCGTATTTTCTTGTACCCCCTTTCTCGCGTGAAGGCGGGCACGCTATTGATATTCTTTGGGGCTTTGCTTTCTCCCACTTAACAGACTGTCCTGGAAGTCACCCCACAGTGGCGCCTAGAGACCATCCTCATCTGTCATCTGGCTGCAGAGAAGCCACGGGGTGGAGGGCTCCCTCTCTGCACACATTCAGGGAGGAACCGCTTGGGCGTGAGCGTGCACTGTCGGAGGGGTTATTTCCAGGGCCGACGCCTAGAGCTGGGATTCCCGGGTAGAAAGGGAAGGACACACGCACTGCTGTTCGATGTCATGCTGCACAGGGCTGCACCAATGTGCGTTCTCACCAGGGACGCCACGACAGACTTCCGAACCAATGTGTGGCGAGATGGCGGGACGTCTCTGCCGGGAACGTCCGTCTTGGCCTGTGCGCAGCTTGCAGTGACCAAGAAGTGCCACCAGGTGGCAGACACCGCCCGTCGCAAAGAGCGCGTTTTTCAAGCTTTTGCTTCAGGGGCTCTTGCCGGGTAAGTTGCAGTAGCAGAACCTTCGACAGATAGTCCTTTTATACTGAAGGAGAGTTGTGATCCTGCCCTCTTACAAATGTCCCTTTCAGCCCTGGCTGGTGTGGCCCGGCAGGTTGAGCACTGTCCCCTGCATCAAAGTGTCGCAGGTTCGAGTCCCTGATTCCCATGTCCCCCACCACAGTCAGCCCCCTTCTCGCCCGGACACCCTCTCCACCCCCGTCAAGGCTTTGCTCACCTCAGCAGCCCCTCCCTTCCCACCCTCCAGGGCTGAGGGCTCTGCAATGGAGATTAGGAGGCAGCCGCGTTGCGGGCAAACTTCTGGGTCCACTGGCCTGGGGCCCGGAGGCTGCCAGCCCGCCTGGCGTGGCTGTGGATGCAGGCGGCAGGCAGGCAGTGCGGAGTCTGACTACTCAGACGGGTGCTCTCCGTAGCTCCCGCCCCTGCCTCTGTGACTCCAGATCACCTGCTCCCCCGGCTCGTTCCTTCTCCCTTCATCCGGCCCTTCGTCTGCCCAGCACCCAGCTCATCTCAGCGAGCGGCTCTCCACGAGCCCCGCGTGTGAGTCCGTGTAAACGTGGACCGCACGCCCACGAGAGGCCACCGCCCCAGACACCGAGGGGAACGCGCGCTGGCGAGGACGTGGGGAAATCGGAGCCCGGGGCCCGTGGTGGGAATGAAAATCGGGGTGGCCGCTGTGAAGGAGAGCGCGGAGTTCCCCAAACACGGACGCAGGAGGACCACGTGATCCAGCACCTTTGGGTAGAGACCCAAAGAGTTCAAAGCAGGCTCTCGAAATGACGTGTATGCCCAGCTCGATTCACAACAGCCGAGAAGCAGAAGCAACCCGATGTCCACAGAGGGCTGGCTACAGACACAGATGCGGTCAGCACGTGCAGTGGAATATTACGCAGCCTTAAAAAATACCCAGCAGCCCAGACGGCGTGGATCAGAGGATGAGCGTCGTCCCATGGACTGAGAGGTCCCAGTTCAATTCCCATTCAGGGCACATGCCCAGGTTTGGGGCTTGATCCCCAGTAGGAGGCAAGCCAATCGATATTTCTCTCTCACATTGATCTTTCTATCTCTCCCTTCCTCTCTCAAAAAAAAAAAACA